CCCTGAGTCAGGGCGTGACAGTACCCCCCCCCCCCCCCCAAAGGTGCGGACTCCGACGCACAACATAAACATAACAGGGTAGGGGCCGGGTGGGCATTCCGCCTCGGAGGCGGATCCGGCTCAGGGCGTGACGACCTCTCACTCTTCGCCTCCCTGTTGCGCCCCTGGTCTGGTCTAGACCTCGGCGCGTTGCTTCCCCTCTCCTTCCTCCCACTATACTCCAAGCCCTGTCTGGACCCTGGTGTGGGAGACCCCGAACCTGGAGAGGGGCTGACGTCTGGGTCTGGACTGGAGCCGCTGACCGGAGCTGGACCGGGCACCGGTGGAGCGGACTGCTCAGGCTCCGGACTGGAACCGCTGACAGGAGCTGGACTAGGCACCGGTGGAGCGGACTGCTCTGGCTCCGGAGTGGAGCCGCTGACCAGATCTGGACTAGACCCCGGTGGAGCGGACTGCTCTGGCTCCGGAGTGGAGCAGCTGACCGGAGCTGGATCAGGCACCGGTGGAGCGGACTGCTCTGGCTCCGGAGTGGAGCCGCTGACCGGAGCTGGACTGGACCCCGGTGAAGCGGATTGCTCTGGCTCCGGAGTAGAGCAGCTGACCGGTGCCGAACCAGGCACCGGTGGAACAGGCACGGGCCGTGCCGGACTGGACACACGCACCACTGGCTTGGTGCGAGGAGCAGGAACAGGCCGGACCGGGCTGGTGACGCGCACCACTGGCTTGGTGCGAGGGGCAGGAACAGGCCGGGCCGGGCTGGCGACGCGCACCACTGGCTTGGTGCGAGGAGCAGGAACAGGCCTGGCCGGACTGGCGACGCGCACCACTGGCTTGGTGCGAGGGGCAGGAACAGGCCGGGCCGGGCTGGTGACGCGCACCACTGGCTTGGTGCGAGGAGCAGGAACGGGTCGGGCCATACTGGGAACACGCACCACTGGCTTAGTGCGGGGAGCAGGAATGGGCCGGACCGGACTGGCGACACGCACCACTTGCTTGGTGCGAGGGGCAGGAACAGGCCGGGCCGGGCTGACGACGCGCTGCCTAACCAGCTCCTCTCGCCGTGCCTCTACACTTTCCTTCTCCCTTTTAGCCTCCTGTAGCCTCGTCATCCACCCCGTGTGCCCCCCCCAACATTTTCTTGGAGTTGCCTCTCGGGTCTCCGTCGTCGGCACGGTTGGCGCCGTTTCTCCTCTCCTGCCTGGGCATCTACCTTCGCCCATGGCCCTTTCCCCGCAAATATCTCCTCCCATTACCACCATTTGCCCACCTGTGACATGGCTATTCGCTCCTCCTGGGCACGCTGCTTGGTCCTCGTTTGGTGGGATCTTCTGTCACGTACGTTCATAGACGGGTCAGACCAAGGCGCAGCGTGATATGCATACATGTTTATTTGACTTATAAACACAAAACAAGAAACGAAACGAAACGTGACGTCCAAGGTACACAAACAACATACCTCACATGGAACAAGATCCCACAACCCACTAGTGCCAATAGGCTGCCTAAGTATGGTCCCCAATCAGAGACAACGAGCGACAGCTGCCTCTGATTGGGAACCACACCGGCCAACATAGATCTAGAAAACCTAGATCACAAACATAGAAAATACAACATAGAAAATCACAACAAGGAATATACACACCCTGACTCAACATATAAGCGTCCCCTGAGTCAGGGCGTGACACTGTTGTAGGGATATTAGTATACTGAACAAAAATAAATGCAATATGCAACAATTTCAAAGATTTTACTGAGTTACAGTCAATTGAAATAAATTCATTAGGCCCTAATCTATGGATTTCACATGACTGGGCAGGGGTGCAGCCATGGGTGGGCCTTGGAAGGTATAGACCCACCCACTGGGTAACCAGGCCCAGCCAAACAGAATGAGTATTTCCCCACAAAAGGGCTTTATTACAGACAGAAATACTCCTCAGCACCCACCACCCCCTCAGACGATCCCGCAGGTGAAGAAGCCAGATGTGGAGGTCCTGAGCTGGCATGGTTACATGTGGTTGTTTGACAAAACTGCACATTTTAGAGTGGCCTTTTACTGTCCCCAGCACAAGGTGCAGCTGTGTAATGATCATACTGTTTAATCAGCTTCTTGATATGCCACACCTGTCAGGTGGGTGGATTATCTTGGCAAAGGAGAAATGCTCACTAACAGGGATGTAAACAAAATTGTTCACAACATTTTAGAGAAATAAGCTTTTTGTGAATATGAAACATTTCTGAGATTTTTTATTTCAGCTCATGAAACATGGGACCAACACTTTACATGTTGCGTTTATATTTTTGTTCATTGTAGTTCTGGGATTTGTCCCCTGGGAAAGATCAAACAGTGGACATAAGGAGTGAGGAGGCGAGACAAAACTAGACGGAATATTGTGTGGTAGGAAAGATGAGCTGACTCAAGAGTGGGCATTCAACTCGCAGTTGATACCGTTTCCACAGTAACATGTATTTCCATGACTTGATGAAATGTTGAAACTAAGTTGCAAGCTTCTTTCGTAGCAAGGTGTTGTAGAACAAGTTTCTTATGAAACACATTCCAGACACTGGCTCTTGCTATCTTGACATAACTGATTTGACAGAGAAATATCAGCTAGATAGGATTTATCTGAACTGAACCTTGGCAAGACGGAGCTGCTCTTCCTCCCGGGGAAGGACTGCCTGTTCCATGATCTCGCCATCACGGTTGACAACTCCGTTGTGTCCTCCTCCCAGAGTGCGAAGAGCCTTGGCGTGACCCTGGACAACACCCTGTCGTTCTCCGCTAACATCAAGGCGGTGACCCGATCCTGTAGGTTCATGCTCTACAACATTCGGAGAGTACGACCCTGCCTTACACAGGAAGCGGCACAGGTCCTAATCCAGGCACTTGTCATCTCCCGTCTGGATTACTGCAACTCGCTGTTGGCTGGGCTCCCTGCCTGTGCCATTAAACCCCTACAACTCATCCAGAATGCCGCAGCCCGTCTGGTGTTCAACCTTCCCAAGTTCTCTCACGTCACCCCGCTCCTCCGCACACTCCACTGGCTTCCAGTTGAAGCTCGGATCTGCTACAAGACCATGGTGCTTGCCTACGGAGCTGTGAGGGGAACGGCACCTCCGTACCTTCAGGCTCTGATCAGTCCCTACACCCAAATGAGGGCACTGCGTTCATCCACCTCTGGCCTGCTGGCTCCCCTACCTCTGCGGAAGCATAGTTCCCGCTCAGCCCAGTCAAAACTGTTCGCTGCTCTGGCACCCCAATGGTGGAACAAGCTCCCTCACGACGCCAGGACAGCGGAGTCACTCACCACCTTCCGGAGACATTTGAAACCCCACCTCTTTAAGGAATACCTGGGATAGGATAAAGTAATCCTTCTACCCCCCCCCAACAATTTTTTTTTAAAAATAAAACATTGTTAAGTGGTTATCCCACTGGCTATAAGGTGAATGCACCTATTTGTAAGTCACTCTGGATAAGAGCGTTTGCTAAATGACGTAAATGTAAACGTAATAGCCAGCTGCAGCAATCACCAACCTATGCTAGCAGTGCTGTCAGCTTGGCTAAATACAAGCTCAGTGCAGGCTTTAGCCTACACATAGACGGGTTAGCTGACAACGTCACGAAAACGATGCGCATGCTTCAATGGAGCGTTTTGATGTCACGTCTATGCTAATATGGCAAACATTTGCTAGCTAGCTAACCAACAACTGTAACGATGTATTTGAGAGACAAGTGCTCATTGTGCAAATGTATTTATGTTTTTATTAAACATTGGCGATGAAATACAGTTAACATGTCAACAACCTAAGCAAACCTGTTTTGCCACATAATTGCGCACGCGTCAGTTTTGTTGCTAAACAATCAACCCGTCTATAGAACTGAATTAACTGACCATCTTGAGATGGCAAGTCAGTCAAACGTTGTTCTCTCCATAGCAAAACTAGCTTAGCTTACCTCGCTGTACTCACTACTGGCCTTGTTTGTTGTGATTGAATGGCACACCCAAGAAACACCCACATCAAACCACACCCCCAAGACAACTCTTGTTTGCCTTTAGTCATGGCCGCTAGCATTTCTTAATGAGCATTGATGAAAAATAAGGCCAAATCAGGAAGTTCAGTCGCCCTTTAACATTATAAATTGTGATTTGTGGTGCTCGTTGTCTCATAGGGAGGGTAAAAGCAACATTGTGAGGAAGTTCACTGACCCGTGTTGAGTCACAGAGAGAAAACAGTGAGGAGGAAGAAGTCATGGGTCTGTTACACAAGATACACTCCTCCCATCCATTTCTCTTCCTCTATATATGTGCAGGCAGAGGATACAGTAGAGTGGATTCAGGGCAGGCATTCACACTGCTGAACTTTCCAGTGCACTAAAATCTGCCAAGCAGGGTCATTCAGAAGAAAACATAAGTGGTGCTGAGCCAGGCTGAGGATACGGAGAAATGCTATCTGTAGGGACAAAAGAGTAAAACAACATCCCACACTTCTAGTGGTATGTTGGACAGAATATGAATTGTCTTGATGCAGGGCCATATCTTGACTTTATAAACACAGCAGGGTTATGTGTTAAGCAGAGGGGAGTGAAACCCAACGACAAGAGGTCATCATTCACTCTACAAGCAGAGTGAGTCAAACCTTTGGCTTCAATATGAGAATTCCACAGTCATGGTTTGATGTTTTTGGCGTGCCTATAGTTAGGCTATGTAATGAGCTTTACAAACAATTAAGGTCACAACTGGCAAACTTCAGGTCAGACACAACAAACCATACTAGTGCAGACAAAACAAACAAGACATGCAGAAATATTCCACAACTTTCCGCACCATATAAGAATATCCATGTCAGCTGCCAAATGCACACTGGACAATGAAATGTGGAAAAGTAATAGAAAAAGAAATGTCTTCTGATCTGGCAAAACCACAACAACCAATCAAAAAGGCAGCCAGATCCACTAAATCACCGATACGTTTTTACAAACCACAAACTCTCAATACACTCACCATGAGGACGGTCTTGGCGGAGGAGTTTGAGTGGCGCAGGCTGTGGTAGGCCAGCAGGCCCAGGAGGCTGTAGAAGGCCAGGGTGGCCATGTTCCTGAGGTCCAGAGGACTCTCCACCAGAGGAATGGTCCCCATGGTCCAGTCACAGCACAGCTCTGATGGGTTGAGAAGGAGCCAGGCGTTCACTGGCAGCAGGTAGTTGAAGGTCAGCTGCCTGGCCGGAGTGGGGCTGACCGCCGCAGGGTTGTCAAACCTGGAGAGGGAGGTGAGAGAAATAAAGGGCGAGAGAAAAATGGAGGGTGAATGAAAATCATAATGACAAGTTGGGTTACAAAAATGGTGAGGGTGAAGGGGAGAGGGGGTGAGTCAGGCTGACCGCCGCTGGGTTGTCAAACCTGGGGATAGAAAGAATAGGGATGGGGGTGGGGGAGAGAGAAAGAGAGAGAGAGAGAGAGAGAGAGAGAGAGAGAGAGAGAGAGAGAGAGAGAGAGAGAGAGAGAGAGAGGACAATTAATAAAAAGTTGGGTTAGGACAGGCACACACTTGACTAGACAAAGAGGGTGTGGACGAGAGGAGTATCTGAGAAGAGGTACTTTATTTTCTGAGAACCATTTTGTGCCAATTTAGCATTTATTAGCACTCAAGAAACATCCTTGCACAAATACTGTATGCTACCGTGGCTGCGCCATCATCTTTGTGGAGCCTGCACTACCTCCCATTTATCCTTTTCCCTCATAACTTTGTGAATGGACTGGCATTCATGATTCTCATTCCTCAGGACCATGAATGTTATAGTCTGTGTCCCAAATGGCTCCCTATTCCCAATGTAGTGCACTACTTTTGACCAGGACCCATAGGGCTTTGGTCAAAAGTAGTGCATTATTTAGGGAATTGGGTGCCATTTGTGATGGGGCCGTTGTCTCCATGGCGCTGAGGAGCACCATTCAGACGTCATATATAAGGGTTAAACCAATTACTGTTAGCTCCTACACATAAATATAGTGAGTATCCAAATATGCACCATTGTTATGTCTGGGAACTAGTTATTTTTCTGATAACACTAATTAAGCGATACAATCTGGAGACTGCCAGTGGATGAATTGATGAAGAATTTAAATATAAACTAACGTTTAGGAATGTTATCTACGTAATGCCATCAGGTTGTTTATGTCTGTGACTGGAGATTCCTAAATTATGGAGAGTTAAAATGTTCCCGAGTTCTTCTGACTCCCTGACCCTGTTTAGGTTAACACTTGGAACCAAAAACAATATTTCACATTCCATTGGGGAATTATAGAATTTGATCATGGACTTAGTTTCTATTCCTGGATTTCCAAAATATGTCTGCAACATATCCGTCAACGTGGGTTGTATTTCCCAATACTTTTAACAACCGCTGCGCCGCCCTACAATTACCCCAGTCACAGGGCCACAGTGACTGCTCACTCACTCGTCCAACCTCTCAAGCTTTGAAATACAATCCATATTTCACTGCATACCAATTACATAGAATAGGACCCCAACCACGCAGTTTAACATACACTGGACTGTTGTAACCTCTTTGTAACATGTTGTAACTACATTGTGCAAGACATGTTTCATGTACAGTCGACCACTGACATAGGATAGGGCCCAATCCCCACGCATATTAACATTAAATACCGCAAGGATACCATTTGTATGTCTCTGCGTGCAGTTTGAAGACAATTGACTTTAGCTTATTGTTAGCTTAGTGCAAATGCTTGGATTTCCAGGTACAGTTGCTAGCTCCACTCAAATATCTAGGTACAGTAGCTTGCTCCTCTCAAATACAGGGAAATAGACCTAACTACTTCAAAGCTGGGTGGTTAGCACTTCGCACTCAGTATCCTTTTAAAATACACTGGACAGTTGTAACCTCTTGTAACCATTACATGGGAAAAGTCAAACCAGGCCAGGCGCCAGCGGCCTGTTCTTTGGTAAGGGTGTTCTGGAATGGGGTCCTGGTAACTTTCCCAGATGCAGAGAACACTGTTTTAGCTAATGGCGGCATGACAGGAATGTTTTCCACCACCACAAAGCTCAGCTGAAACTTGTTAGGTCTGGTTAGTCAGAAAGCCAAACACTCACCAGAAAGCTACCGGTGTAATTATGTTCACACGGCAATGCATTTTATTTTGTTATGTAAACAATTGCGTAATCAAATGATGGATAATAGATCCAATATAACGCGTTTGACATCTAGCCATGTGTGAATTATGCCCTTGTTTGTGTTCCATTTCCACTTGATTTGTGGCTGTTGGTTTCACCAGCCTGTATATCTGCTTTATGCCATCTCGGGAACTGCAACAACAGCCCTTCAAACCGCAAAGAAAACATTTCGCCACCATGAAAATGCAGGTCCAATATGTATTCAATCGATCTTGTAAACAAGATCTGTTTCTCACTGTATCTAGGCCTACACCTTTAAGGTCAAACAATGTTCATTGATTGGGTAACTGACAATGTACTGTTCCAAGTGGCATGGCTACCATGAGCAGAAACATGGAATCTACATTTCCCGGATCATGGCTTCAATAGAAAAACTAAATGTCCATTGCCATGGAAACACATCCACGGCTCCACCCACCTGGTAAAGACAGGAAGCTGTGATTGGATGACCTGGACCCTGATGATGACCAGCAGCAAGGTGCTGATGATGAGGACTATGAGCTTGAGGAGCGTCTGCAGGACAGCATAGGGGAAACCATCTTTACCCCTCAGCACCTGGAGGAGTGTGTACAGCAGCATGGGCAGCGTGAACTGAGAAAGAGGAGGGGGAGAGAGTAGAGAAAGAGAGAGATAAAAAATTAACTGACTGATCTGTAAAAGGGAATAATGATGGGGTGAGGCCAGTTTTGTGTACTGTAGCTTTTTCATTCTAGTCTAGTCGACCTCCGGTTGAGAAACACTGATCATTTACAGTGCATTCGGAAAGTATTCAGACCCCTTGACTTTTTCCACATTTTGATACGTTTACAGCCTTACTCTAAAATGGATTAAATTGTTTTTTTCCCCTCATCAAATCGACACACTCCCCATAAGGACAAAGCAAAAACAGTTTTTTTGCAATTTTTTTTAGAAAACCCCCCGGAAATATCACATTTATATAAGTGTTCAGACCCTTTACTCAGTACTTGGTTGAAGCACCTTTGGCAGGGATTACATCCTCGAGTCTTGTTGGGTATGACGCTACAAGCTTGGCACACCTGTATTTGGGGAGTTTCTCCCATTTTTCTCTGCAGATCCTCTCAAGCGCTGTCATGTTGGATGAGGAGCGTCGCTGCGCAGCTATTTTCAGGTCTCTCCAGAGATGTTCGATCAGGTTCAAGTCCGGGCTCTGGCTGGGCCACTCAAGGACATTCAGAGACTTGTCCCGAAGCCACTCCTGCGCTTTCTTGGCTGTGTGCTTAGGGTCGTTGTCCTGTTGGAAGGTGAACCTTTACCCCAGACTGAGGTCCTGAGCGCTCTGGAGCAGGTTTTCATCAACGATCTCTCTGTACTTTGCTCCGTTCAGCTTTCCCTCGATCCTGACTAGTCTCCCAGTCCCTGCCGCTGAAAAACATCCCCACAGCATGATGCTGCCACCACCATGCTTCACCGTAGGGATGGTGCCAGGTTTCCTCCAGACGTGACACTTGGCATTCAGGCCAAAGAGTTCAATCTTGGTTTCATCAGACCAGAGAATCTTGTTTCTCATGGTCTGAGAGTCCTTTAGGTGCCTTTTGGCAAACTCCAAGCGGGCTGGCATGTGCCTTTTACTGAAGAGTTTCCTCCGTCTGGCCACTCTACCACAAATGCCTGACTGGTGGAGTGCTGCAGAGATGGTTGTCCTTCTGGAAGGTTCTCCCATCTCCACAGAGGAACTCTGGAGCTCTGTCAGAGTGACCATTGGGTTCTTGGTCACCTCCCTGACCAAGGCCCTTCTCTCCCGATTGCTCAGTTTGGCCGGGCGGCCAGCTCTAGGAAGAGTTTTGGTGGTTCTAAACTTCTTCCATTTAAGAATGATGGAGGCCAGTGTGTTTTGGGGGATCTAGAATGCAGCAAAGATTTTTTGGGACCCTTCCCCAGATCTGTGCCTCGACACAACCCTATCTCGGAGCTCTACGGACAATTCCTTCAACCTCATGGCTTGGTTTTTGCTCTGACATGCACTGTCAACTGTGGGACCTTATATAGACAGTTGTGTGCCTTTCCAAATCATGTCCAATCAATTGAATTTACCATAGGTGGACTCCAATCAAGTTGTAGAAACATCTCAAGGATGATCAATGGAAACAGGACGCACCTGAGCTCAATTTCGAGTCTCATAGCAAAGGGTCTGAATAATTATGTAACAACCTGTTTTTACATAATTATGGGGTATTGTGTGTAGATGAGGAAAAACATGAATTTAATCCATTTTCAAATAAGGCTGTAACGTAACAAAATGTGGAAAAAGTAAAGGGTCTGAATACTTTCCGAATGCACTGTATACCCAGATGGATCAAAATTCTTTAATATTTAGGACACTTTATCAAAATTAAGGCCTTTAGCTTTGGCTCTCTAATGATTGTGTATCATGTAACTAATTTGTCTATTTTTGACCAAGGGGAAGGAGAGCCGACAAAACAGCTGCTCACCATCATTCCTCTCTCAAGTACCCCTTTTGTAATAAAAATGGGAGGTAGCCAGTTCAACAAAAAAAGAATCGTCCCATAACTCAAATCTATTACTGGGGTTTTGTCAGTGAGGGCGTGACCGTGCAGTGTGATGGTTGGAGCGACGGCGTGTTGCACTGTGGAGTGAGGTTACCGGCCCTGTCCTGCGGTGTCTTACCCCTTGTGCAACAAACACCTCATGGACACAGCAGATACCGATGACCGTGACTCCCTGCTCCTTGCATAACGTGGCTGCAGCCACCAAAACCACGGTCACAGCAATGGGAGTCCACACTAGAGAGAAAGTCAAAAAAGGAGGAACATAAAGAATGGGATGTTGCCAGAGGTCATACTCATACACACAATCATATCCTAATAAAACGTAGGTGCTGGTCTAATGAGTACACACGAAAAGGACAGAAAGACCCGGTATATAGTGTGCAGGGCTTTCTGTCCTTTTCATGTTGCCAGAACCTTCACTCAAGAACAAAACTAAACAACTAAAGAGCCTTGGAAACCATTCTATTCGGTCAGTTGGATTTATAGTGGACTTTATAGTGAAATTAGACACAGTGTGTTCATCTAAAGGCCCCTGGAATGAATCCCCATCGAAACCCATCAGAATAGTAAGTATTAGATGGTGCCTGTGGTTAGGAAGAATGGTTGAGATGATACTCTAGGTCAGGGGTAGGCAACCCTGTTCCTGGAGGGCCGCAGGTACTGCAGGATTTTGCTCCAACTAGGCACCACACCTGACCATCTGAGCTAATTGATCAGTTCAGTGATTGCCTAAATTCAACACACCTGGTCTTCCTGGTCTGTTAATTCAAAAACATATGAGCAGGGCTGCCTACCTTTGCTCTAGGTCAAGGACCTCAGGACCCGCCGAAGGGAAGGTTGTTTCACACATTCACCTGGTAACCATACGTACCGGTTACAAGATTCACAGTGGGAAAGGCACTTTCTAGTGAAGGTTCTAAAATAAACATATAGCTAAGCCTACAGTATACGACGTTCCCACCCATTTGAGCTCTTAAATCTCACGTGCCTTTGGTAAAACTGAACAATTGCCACTTTGTCTTTTTAGGCTTCAGGACTTGTTTTATAGTATTCTACAACACTCACAGAAGACTAGCTAGTTGTGTTTTACCCTTCTTACTGCTTAATTTCTGTTATCGCAGTATAGCAGAACCAGTACAGCAGTTATTATTGAAAGGAAATGCATTTCCACACCACTTGCTTTATGCCGTATTCATCTCTAGCCTGTTGTTGCCTACCCTAAATTCAGCCAGAATGATGCAAAACATCAGCTTGCTTGTTATAAACACACCTGGCTGTTTGAATGTGTCTTTGTAAATTGTATGTGGAGGAAAATGTTGAACATAGACTATAGGCCCAGTTGAATATACATTGTTGTCATGTTTTGTGAAAAATGTGTATTACATGAAAATCAAAAATGGAATATATTTTTTAGTATCTCATTCATATTTGCAGAGTATACACTTTTTTGTTTTGACATTTGACTCCTGTTGAAATGGGAGGCAAAATTCAGTGTTTTCCATTAGCGCAGGCTGTCGGCTAATCAGTCAGTTACAGACTCATTTTCAGCAGGCTACATTTCCCACTTCATATTAACTAGGCTTCTTTTCATTTAAAAGTTTAAACTCGCTAGTCCGTCAAGCCAACTCCCGCTAAAATGCATATTCTAGTGGGGAAACGCAGCAGAGCGGAAGAGGCGAAGCGAGAGGTTTCACTCTGTCCAAATCTGTCCAAAATAAGCCCAATGCGTTTCTATGGGTTTATTTTGGACCTAAGCTTGTCACCCGCCTTCCCATCTTTGGGACAACGACTCCCATTTTTAGGGCAGAGACATGAGCATCTCGTTACAGACTGGTCTCACAGAGTAGACTTAACATAGTAAACGTAAATCCGGGACACTCAAGTTAGTATGATACTGTATGTTACATTTGGTATGGTTAAATAAGAAAGAAGGTTACGTAAGGCAAAAACAGAGCCTCATTCTGGATTAAATTATCATTGCAATTGTGCACACTGATGTCGGACATGCACCTACCCCAATGGTCTGTTTCTGATGACTGGGATGAATGCAGTAGCAGATTTCAGGAGCAGGACAACTCTTTTTGACTGATGACTGATATAAGGGCATGTACAGTGGGGAGAACAAGTATTTGATACACTGCATACAGTGGGGAGAATAAGTATTTGATACACTGCCGATTTTGCAGGTTTTCCTACTTACAAAGCATATAGAGGTCTGTAATTTTTATCATAGGTACACTTCAACTGTGAGAGACGGAATCTAAAACAAAAATCCAAACTAACAGGTCTGTGAGAGCCGGAATTCTTACTGGTTGGTAGGTGATCAAATACTTATGTCATGCAATAAAATGCAAATTAATTACTTAAAAATCATACAATGTGATTTTCTTGATTTTTGTTTTAGATTCCGTCTCTCACAGTTGAAGTGTACCTATGATAAAAATTACAGACCTCTATATGCTTTGTAAGTAGGAAAACCTGCAAAATCGGCAGTGTATCAAATACTTGTTCTCCCCACTGTAAGTATTTGATCACCTACCAACCAGTAAGAATTCCGGCTCTCACAGACCTGTTAGTTTTTCTTTAAGAAGCCCTCCTGTTCTCTACTCATTACCTGTATTAACTGCACCTGTTTGAACTCGTTACCTGTATAAAAGACACCTGTCCACACACTCGATCAAACAGACTCCAACCTCTCCACAATGGCCAAGACCAGAGAGCTGTGTAAGGACATCAGGGATAAAATTGTAGACATGCACAAGGCTGGGATGGGCTACAGGACAATAGGCAAGCAGCTTGGTGAGAAGGCAACAACTGTTGGCGCAATTATTAGAAAATGGAAGAAGTTCAAGATGACGGTCAATCACCCTCGGTCTGGGGCTCCATGCAAGATCTCACCTTGTGGGGAATCAATAATCATGAGGAAGGTGAGGGATCAGCCCAGAACTACACGGCAGGACCTGGTCAATGACCTGAAGAGAGCTGGGACCACAGTCTCAAAGAAAACCATTAGTAACACACTACGCCGTCATGAATTAAAATCCTGCACCGCATGCAAGGTCCCCCTGCTCAAGCCAGCACATGTCCAGGCCAATGAACATCTGGATGATCCAGAGGAGGAATGGGAGAAGGTCATGTGGCCTGATGAGACAAAAATAGAGCTTTTTGGTCTAAACTCCACTCGCCGTGTTTGGAGGAAGAAGAAGGATGAGTACAACCCCAAGAACACCATCCCAACCGTGAAGCATGGAGGTGGAAACATCATTCTTTGGGGATGCTTTTCTGCAAAGGGGACAGGACGACTGCACCGTATTGAGGGGAGGATGGATGGGGTCATGTATCGCGAGATCTTGGCCAACAACCTCCTTCCCTCAGTAAGAGCATTGAAGATGGGTCGTGGCTGGGTCTTCCAGCATGACAACGACCCGAAACACACAGCCAGGGCAACTAAGGAGTGGCTCCGTAAGAAGCATCTAAAGGTCCTGGAGTGGTCTAGCCAGTCTCCAGACCTGAACCCAATAGAACATCTTTGGAGGGAGCTGAAAGTCCATATTGCCCAGCAACAGCAACAGCCCCGAAACCTGAAGGATCTGGAGAAGGTCTGTATGGAGGAGTGGGCCAAAATCCCTGCTGCAGTGTGTGCAAACCTGGTCAAGACCTACAGGAAACGTATGATCTCTGTAATTGCAAACAAAGGTTTCTGTACCAAATATTAAGTTCTGCTTTTCTGATGTATCAAATACTCATGTCATGCAATAAAATGCAAATTAATTACTTAAAAATCATACAATGTGATTTTCTGGATTTTTGTTTTAGGTTCCGTCTCTCACAGTTGAAGTGTACCTATGATAAAAATTACAGACCTCTACTGCTTTGTAATTAGGAAAACCTGCAAAATTGGCAGAGTATCAAATACTTGTTCTCCCCACTGTCTTATATGATGGTCATAATGCTTCTTGACAATGTCATAAAGTGTATTATCTTAGTCCAAGTAAAGTGACACAGGATGGTCATAATGCTCCATGACAGTGTCATAAAGCCTATTATCTACTAGTTATTTAAAATAGGATGAAAAAAACATGTGTAAGTGTTCCCCAATATTACTACATTTGCCCAAGTTTATCATAAGACATGAACAGAATGCATCAGCGATTCATATTCCTGCTACTTTCTGATGGGACAACAAGAATGCCCATCTGTGTGTGTGCGTGCAGGTCTACCACCTTGTGTAGCCGTTAGCGATGTTGCTAATGAAAACAGTATTCTGGTAGAAGGAAGGGCTTTCCCAAATACATACTCAAATGTTAACTACAAAGCAGCCTACGCTTATCGGTTTTAATAAAATACATAATTTGAAGAACCAACATCATTGTGGCAATTCATATCTTGCAGTAAAACTGTAAGACTTTAATCTCAAGAGAAGACCGGTTAAATGTTAAAAAGGGTTTCATGTTCTATTACTTCCCCTAATGGTCCTGATCATATAGGCCTAGACCTAGACAATATCCAAAACAACTAACAATACACTGAATTAATACATTTTCAGTAATTACAATTGTAAAGTCATGTCTTTCAACACAATACCACTAGTAATTTTTCTAATCTGGGAGGTAAACTCGATAAAGTATACAATAATTTCGCTGTGTATTTCAGATGGAATCAAGGCATTAGAATGTACCAGAGGTTACCAAAACAGGGGGGAAAGCCCCCCCCAGACAGCTACTTTTTCTATTTGGCTGGCTACTCTATGTACTTGTGGAAAAAGTTTTTGTTCCTTGCATGCAAATTCGATTGACTGTTTGACATAAGAAATGCAGATAGTTGAAAAAGTGTGTGTTCCAGAACTGTTTGAAGATCCAAGGGACACAACAGATGCAATGAGAGCTTGATGGAAGGTAAAGCCTAAGAACTAGTTTGTCTGGTATAAGAATAACAACATACAGGTAACTGCCAAAATAAAGTGTCTTAATAGGGGGTTGGGCCACCACGAGCGAGAACAGCTTCAATGCACCTTGGCATAGATTCTACAAGTGTCTGGAACTCTATTGGAGGGACGCGACACCATTCTTTCACAATAGATTCCATAATTTGGTGTTTTGTTGATGGTGGTGGAAAATTCTGTCTCAGACACCGCTCCAGAATCTTCCATAAGTGTTCAATTGGGTTGAGATCTGGTGACTGAGACGGTCATGGCATAAGGTTTACATCGTTTTCATGCTCATCAAACCATTCAGTAACCACTCGTGCCCTGTGGATGGGGGCATTGTCATCCTATGGGGCCATAGCCATGGTAGCCAAAATAATGGGCTGCCCAGCATTTTTATACATGACCCTAAGCACGATGGGATGTTAATTGCTTAATCAACTCAGGAACCACACCTGTGTGGAAGCACCTGCTTTCAATATACTTTGTATCCATCATTTACTTAAGTGTTTCCATTATTTTGGCAGTTACTGGTACAATATTGAATTTTGTATTTGGTTAAAGGCTGTATAAGGCAACAAAACTCAATGAACCTCTCTAAAACTGGCCCTACTGAGGCTAGATCACCTTGGTAAGATAAGATAATGACAATGAATTGTTACGTTGTTCATTTCCTTGAATTTAGGAGGGAGAAAACAGTCACTTCCCCATTCATCCCTCTCTCGTGATAACCATCATCCCTCAGAAATCAAATCCGGAGAAGGTTAGAGGCGGTAGCTAACAAGTCAGGGCATGTGTCTTATTGTTCTCTGAAGGCCCTGTTTGCGTGAATGCGCGCAACAAAAATGCATGCAAAAAATGGGGGGAGGGGTACAGTAGACTCACCGAATGACAGACTAGCAAGTGGGAGCATGCATCTTCTTGTCTTGTTTTCCTCAAACCCGTGTGTGTACACAACAAACACAGGGACAATATTGGTGGCGGGCTACAGTAGACTCACCGATGGAGTGGTCGGCTCCTTTCGATCTGGTGTAGGCCAGGAATGCAGCCAGAAGGAAGATGGAGGACAGGAGCTCCGCTCTTCCTACAACACCAGTCACCTGCCAGAGGAACCAAAAATAAAATCTTTGGCACAAATATGTTCTTCTTTCATCAATGAATCGATGAGGTCCACTTTCCCCATGACAGCCATCACCTGTCAGAGGCACAAAGTTGAAAGTAAATGGTCAAAGTCAACGTTTCTGGCACAAAGATGTTTTCTCGTCAATCAATCATCCTTTAAAACACTTCCTCCTCGGTCTCTCTGGCATGCCTGAAATCTGCTGAAACCTGATTGTCCATGACAAAGGCTAACCTAAAATATGCACTCAACAAGACCTTAAATGAAAAATATGCCCGCCACCTAGCCTAGGTCTAAATCATGGAGGCAGACCACATAGGTAACTCACACTGGCTCCTGCCGGCCAGGGGCCTCTAATAGAAATATATGAAGGATTATTGCCACCTTATGGAAGCACATGGAACTGCACATGTCCTGTTTTCACGAGAGCAGCTGGGGCTGGTAAATCTTGGACCAAGAGGAGAGCAAATCTGTGTCATGTTTAGCAGGGAGAAAATGTTTTGAAACACAGTGAGGTACTAACTGAACTTGACCAGTAAGAATAAGAACCGTACTGAACATGATCCAGGTGAGGTTGACTCACCTGACCTCTACCGCATAGATGTCCTAAGAACAACACAAAGACTGACACACAATTGCTAATCACTAGACTATGACAATCTTGCCTGCCTACTCAAACTGAATTATTCCGCTGCAATTACTGAAGTATTTTGTGGTGACGTCAAAATGAGGGGTGTTGTACAAAACAAAGTGATCAGCAATTGGTCATCTCTAACCAATCAGAGTATCAAAGCCAACGACACATTTTCTAAATGTCGCTTTACCCACGTGTGTTTTGGCTCTGGCCCAACCCAACGATTTCTGGGACCAATCAGACGGTCTAGAACGTATTTCCAATCTAGAAATCGTAGGGGATGTACTCAGATCCAGACTCATTGCGGAGAATAAACGAACGTCCGTAGGTGTGGCGTAGCATTAGGCCGAAGCAAGGAGTTTGGGTAGCCAGGCAAGTGACAGTCAGCCTCTAGACAACATATGTTGACAGACATCACTATTATGCAGTATTTTCATCTCTCAACCACTTGCAACTATTGAATCCAATGAAACTATTCAAAGCATGCAGCTTTCAGTTCCATCTTTAGGATCATCAATGTCATACAAACACAGTTCTAGTTGAATATGTTCAGATACCAGACACAGATGCACACATACACTCTGAACTACATGTTCAAAAAGAAAGCCATTCTAAGACGTTCACAAGACAGAGGCACGCACAACGGTCTCTTTGTCCATGTTTATCATGAAGGGGAGCTTCACTGCTCAGTGTTTCAAATGAAAAACAAATTATCCGTTGAGACAGAGATTCCAGACCAAGATAACGTGAAGGCCATTGGCCGGGCCAAGGGCTACTTTGTGAATTGTGAAATGGGTCCTTTCAAGCGATTGAGAGGCTGCACTCAGCTGAAGGAGAGAATGACATGAAGATGAGGGAGTTCGAGGGAGCACTAGAGCTGTGTAATATTACACCTCCCTTTTCCAGAGTGGCAAAATGTTGTCTTTGTTTTACTATTCTGTTTTTCTTTTTAATTCTTCATTTCAGGTTTTCTAAGGCCTGTCTGGTCGCCGGTGCAACTCGGTTGAATGGGGTGAAATACAAGTACAAATTGGGGGTAAGGGAGTTAGCAAATATGCTAGATGAGAGAAGTTGTTGTTGAGGTAGACATTAATGACTGAGATTAGTTCAATTGAGTTAATTTGAAACAGACATTAACCAACTCAATGTCCAACTTGTATTGAATTCCATTCTTTTCATGTCACTAATGCATGCAGGTCCGTATAACTCAAATAGTATCAACGTTACTTGCTTCTGTTTAAATCTGTTAATGGTTGGGGTAAGGATTTAGGGAGAGTTAATTTAGTTAGTTCCTAGATCTGTGCCTACAGTATGAGCAGACTTACGGCCTCTGTGTGGATGGGGTGCACAGCAAACAGCAGGGCCGCCACCAGGCTGGAGGTCTTGTCCAGGAAGAGACGACAGATGCGCAGGAAGAGCGGACACACCACGGCATGTAGCACCACGTTGAGCAGGTGGTAGGATGCAGAACTCAGCTCACTGAAGACGTAGTTCAGCCTAAACGTGAGCACGGTCAGGGGCCGGTAGGACTTGTGGCTCCTCTCCTGTGGTAAGAAACAGAAATATGGGAGGGAGAATAGTGCTGTTGTGAATTTAGGTGATTTTGTTGGTACTTGCAATCAAATCATCTGACTATAGTTATGCCAAGAATCAAAGTTCACCAATATTCACAACAGCCATTGATTAATTGAACATATACTGAACAAAAATATAAAACGCAACAAGTTCATTGATTTTACTGAGTTGCAGCTCATATGAGGAAATCCATCAATTGAAATACATTTATGAGGCCCAATCTATGGATTTCACGACTGGGAATATAGACATGCATCTGTTGGTCACAGATACCTTAGAAAAAAGGGGCCTCACAATGGGCCTCAGGATCTCGTAATGGTATTCTTTTGTATTCAAATTGCCATCAATAAACGCCCATTGTGATCGTTGTCCGTAGCTTATGCCTGCCCATACCATAACCCTACCGCCACCATGGGGCACTCTGTTCACAACGTTGACATCATCAAACCGCTTGTCCACATGACGCCATACACATGGTCTGCGGTTGTGAGGCCGGTTGGACATACTGCCAAATTCTCTAAAACTACTTTTATGGTAGAGAAATTAACATTCAATTATCTGGCAACAGCTCTGGTGGGCATTTCTGCAGTCAGCATGCCAATGCACTCTCCCTCAAAACTTGAGACATCTGTGGCATTGTGTTATGTGACAAAACGGCACATTAGTGTCCTTTTGTCCCCAGTACAAGGTGCACCTGTGTAATGATCATGCTGTTTATTCAGCCTCTTGATATGCTACACCTGTCAGGTGGATGGATTATCTTGGCAAAGGAGAAATGATTACTAACAGGGATGTAAACACATTTGTGAACAATATGTAAGAGAAATAAGCTTTTTGTGCGTATGGAAAATGTCAGGGATCTTTTATTTCAGCTCATGAAACATGGGACCAACACTTTACATGTTGCGTTTATATTTTTGTTCAGTGTAAATTACATTTGAACTATTCTCAGCTGAAATTCAAATAATCCTTATTTACTTGATCATCTGCATGTTTTGCAAGGGGAGCATAAACAAAGTAAGACATTGTGCATGACATGTCACAAGTAATCTCGTGCACCGAAGTATCCCTCCCCAAGCTCGAGGATATTTCATGATAGATTCATCACCTCAGACATGGGCGTGCCCCAGAAGTCATTGAAGAACAGGTTGCTGAGTGGGGTGGCGGGCCGCAAGTCCTTGTTGTCCAGAATGGCCGAGACATCGTCGAACACAAAGCCACAGGACAGGCTGTTCCAGTAGCATCCCACCACCAGTCCGATCAAAAGCAAGACCTCCTTCCACGACACGACAGCCATCGATGACCAAAGGCTTCATTGATCACTGTGACGGATGAAGTTACAGCAGGACAGGAGAAATTAGACTAGAGAGGTTGTCTTTGTTCATTATCATATCATGGTTCACACAATACAATGTGCCCAGCCCATATTTGCTAGGATGCCACCGACACAGCTTGGTGCTGCCAGGTCAGGTGACAAGACTTGCACCATAACAATGTATGCCTTCAGGTGCACTGAGTTGGTCTGATAAATTCCCATACAATGCAGAAAGATTATATTAGCAAAACACCTATGACGATGACTATTGCATTGAGGATGTCATATTAAAACTTGAAAGGCAACAATGTAGTTAGCTAGCTAGGTAACTATATCAATCGAGAACAAGATCCTGACGTTTCAGTCACGCTAGCTGGTCATACATGTTATATTTTTCTTCACTGTAACTTTAAAAACATTGCCATTTTTTTTTTTTTTTTACATTTAAGTCATTTAGCAGACGCTCTTATCCAGAGCGATTTACAGTTAGTGAGTGCATACATTATTTTTTATATTTTTCATACTGGCCCCCCGTGGGAATCGAACCAACAACCCTGGCGTTGCAAACACCATACTCTACCAACTGAGCTACATCCCTGCTAGGCAGTATTGCAACGAATCACACGCTTAAGGGATACTTCGGGATTTTGGCAATTAGGCTCTTTACTTTATCTACTTCCCCAGAGTCAGATGAACTTGTGGATACCATGTGTATGCAGTTTGAAGGAAGTTGCCAACTAGCGTTAGCGCAATGACTGGAAGTCTATGGGTATCTGCTATCTAACAAATACCCATACTCTTACTTCTAGCCATTGTGTTAACGCTAGTTAGCATTGACTAGCGACACTACCTATAACGTCCTTCTTACTCGACACAGAGACATAAAAATGGTATCCACGAGTTCACCGACTCTGGGGAAGTAGATAAAGGCCAAAAATACCGAAGTATCCCTTTTATAAACACACCAACATTAGCTAGCTAGCTAAATGTTGTGTTGAAGATAACCTAGTCGCCGCTAGCCTCTTCCATTTTCACTTGATTGTTCACGATTAATGGTCTAGTTTACACAATGCAGATGAAAATAGTTTACAGTAACATTTCCTAACATATTATAACATTGTTAGAGGAAATTAGAAAATGTAGAAACATACGTTAAAGTATTCGGCGATTGACATTCCAATTTGAACGCTAGCAATAAATCCCCAAACTTCCGGGGCAAAGTTTAAGCTAAAAAGGGCCACTGATTTCAGAAACAGCGGTGGCTGTAACTTGTTGTCCCATATGTACTGACACTATCAAGAAGAGGAGAACACACATTGCTTGCTATAAATCATGAAAATGCTTGTGTTGAAAAGCTCTCTAACTAGCTATCTAGCTGGCTAATTGACTGGCTAGCCTTTTGCGACAGTGACACAACTTTATCAGCGATTAAGTAGCATATTGCGCAAATCAATTTACGACTGTTGTCAGCGGTAACTTAGCAACTGGAGCAGCAGTACGGTCAAATGTATGTTCGCTTTGTTCTATCTGTGGTATGGTTAGCTAGAATACCCAAGTAAGGTAGCCAAATATGTTGGGGCAGGTATATGAAAAAAGGTAAGATACAAACGAATATTTCTTCAAATGAAAATAACCCAGTTGCATGCATACGTAATTTATATACATGTAGAATGGATTTTGCATCACCCGACGCCAATGCAAAGTTTAGCAAGTAGTTAGCAGCAGGTAGCTAGCTAACCATGTTGTTAGCTAGTCAGCTAACTTAGTTAACTAGCTAGTTACAACTAAAATGCATTTTGCAAGGACAATAGCCACAGCTCTAACGTACAATGTGTGTCTGTCCATCTATTTGTTCTCCAGTTCGTGTTAGCTAGCTGTAACTACACAATTGTCAAGATGCCTCCTCATCTTGACTGGAGTAGGGTAATTGATGCTGACCCAGAACAACTGCAGGAGAGTGGCGATGCAGAGATAATCAACCAAATGTTTCTACAGGTAACGTTACAGTACAGTTCCCAAATGCACATACCTGCACCCCAAATCCTCTTCTAATCTGATACTGTATCAATCAAATAGTCCAATCTAGTTTTTCTTGTTGATATGGATGTCTGACCATTGAAATGAGTGGTCCTGCTACTGATTTGTCTGTCAACAGCACAAAGGACTCCCCTGCCTTCCGCCAAAGCACAGACTGTCTGTGTCAGCAAAATGCCTCAAAGCCTAAACAGACTAATCCTATTCTGCACACCTCATTTTGATCCCCCTACCATTTCCCCTAGCCAGGATCAAGCACCTGGCTTGTAGACTAAACAAAAGTGTAAGCAATTTTGTTCTCTGATACTACCAGTGAGACAGGAACATATATAAAAGACCAAGCAGTACTAGTTACTGGATCTCTAGACACTGCTGGTCACAGGGTTTTACTCCCATTTTACACCAAGCATTACTGTTGATGTGTTTCTGCCTGATGTCAAATTCACTGTGTGTTTCACTGAACAGCGGTGGTGCCCTATTTCTCTGCAGGTCAAACAATGGGAGAGGGAGCTGGAAGCCCAGAGAAAATAGTTCAGCTCTTGCGTGTCGCTCAGGGCCTTCTAAAGGTTTCCCATGCTATTATTACCCATTCAGATCCAGAGCTGCATTATTCAAACTCACTACAACTCTGTGATCCATTCACATCGCTGTGCTGAAATGCATTCCTAATATTATTATATCCAATGTTAATATCAGTAGAATACATTACATAGTTGCTTTGAAGGAATAAGCTCTACACAGTGTGGTTTAAGTAATGTAGAACAGTTTGATTATATTTGCATCACATGCAGTGTAACTACTAACTATGACTTGCTTGTGTGTGGATTTACAATATGCGTGTGTTATAGTCTGTTTCATGTTATTTATTACTGGTGGTACTGATACTGACCCAAAATCTTTATATTTTTCTGCAGTGGAAGAAAGAGGAGGTAACCATGGCATTTGAACTCATTGATAATGCTGGTACAGAAGCATTGTTAGAAATTAAGCGTTGTTAAGTGTATTGTTAGAAATTAATGGCCCACAGTAGATACTTTAACAGTATCTCTTTTGTGTCTTACAGAAAATGAGTGGAAGGCCAAGGAGTTAAAGTGGGAACAAGAGTTAAAGATAAGGCTTGGTGTGAATGTTGTCATTAAATGAAATGGTGAATCATTAGAGTCCATATTCAATCGAAACTGCCGGTTCTGGATAGCAGTTTTGTTTGAATTGGACCACAGGTTATTTCACCTCATGCTGCTCAGTTTCCTTCAACGGGCTTAGTACACCTCTCAGCCAATAGTAAAGTCACTCATAGTACTTAAGGAGATTGTTTGTTGTGGTTTTATCTCTTCATGCGGGACGAGATGCGCAAACTGGAGGCTCAACTGGACCGCAGAGAGAAGTACATCCAACAGTTGAAGAAAGAGACGAGCAAGGAGAAGAAAATCAACGAAGAAGTATGACCTTATGTTATGGGACGTCATTCATTCTATAGCAAGCTAGTATTAATGTGTGTCATTGTGTACTCAGTACAATATTAAGTCCTACTTTGAAAAATATGTCATGCAAGTGCAAAATGTTCACTTGATTTTACTGTGTGTAGCCTATACAGTCACCTCCCATTGTGTTCACAGTTCCCATGCACCTAATTTCTCCCATGTGTTCCCACAATTGATGATTCAAGCATGGGATGAGAGTAGGTGATTGTCAAGCAAATAACTGCCGGTCCCACGGTAATTGACCGTTAATTAACATAAACACATTTAGCATCTCCTGGCTGCCATGCATAGCCTACAAGCCGCTGATGCAGACCTTTGGAACATCTACATTTAAAAAAGTCTAATAAATCCATGTAATATAGCTGACACTATCACAATAAGTCCATTTATTTTAGACAGGTCTAACTAAACATGTTATGAAGAAAATGTAGTCTATTTCAGAAGAACAGAATAGCATACTCTGAGTTGTCCTTATGTTAGGCCCTGATCTGGCTATGCCATATGGCTGTGGGCTACACTAGTTCATTTAGCATACAAGATTTGCTTAGAATTCCATGGCATTATTTTATAGTATGAAGAATACAATTGAACATAGCTGAATAAAATAGAAAGGATATTTTCTCCAAATCATTTGACAGAGTGTGCACATGTGGCTATTCAGTGTTGAGCGTTAACAAAGAAACAGGTACTCCTATATGCATAATTTACATTTTAGTCATTTAGCAGACACTCTTATCCAGAGCGACTTACAGTTAGTGAGTGCTTATTTATGTAACTTTAGTTGTGATACAAATTTTGGGCTATATGTTTTGATTTTTTTACATTCTAAGGCTGCATGATGCGACTCTAATGATGATTAAAAAAAAAGTTGAATGAAAGACATGAGCTCTGCTTTGTTTTTTAAGCAGGCTGTACACATTTCATCAGTCTCTCATTCACAATTTGACAAATACAATTTTATTTGTCACATACACGTTTAGCAGATGTTATTGCAGCTGTAGTAAAATGCTTGTGTTTCTAGCTCCAACAGTGCAGTATATTTAACAATTCACAACAATACACACAACCTAAAAGTAAAATAATGGAATTAAGGAATATATAAATATTAGAAATACAGTGCTATGAAAAAGTATTTGCCCCCTTTCTAATTATCTCTACTTTTGCATATTTGTGATACTGAATGTTATCAGATCTTCAACCAAAACCTAATATTAGATAAAGGGAACATAAGTGAACAAATAACACAACAATTACATATTTATTTCATAAACAACGTTATGCAACACCCAATTCCCCTGTGTGAAAAAGTAATTGCCCCCTTACACTCAATAACCTTTAGCTGCAATGACTCCAACCAAATGCTTCCTGTAGTTGTCGATCAGTCTCTCACATCGCTGTGGAGGAATTTTGGCCCACTCTTCCATGCAAAACTGCTTTAACTCAGTGACGTGTGGGTTTTCAAGCATGAACTGCTCGTTTCAAGTCCTGCCACAACATCTCAATTGGGATTAGGTCTGGACTTTGACTAGGCCATTCCAAAACTTCAAATTTGTTGCTTTTTAGCAATTTTCATGTAGAATTGATTGTATGTTTTGGATCATTGTATTGCTGCATGACCCAGCTGCGCTTCAGCTTCAGCTCACAGACGGATGGTCTGACATTCTCCTGTAGAATTCTCTGATACAGAGCAGAATTCATGGTTCCTTCTATTAAGGCAAGTCGTCCAGGTCCTGAGGCAGCAAAGCATCCCCAAACCATCACACCACCACCACCATGCTTGACCTTTGGTATGATGTTCTTACTGTGGAATGCAGTGTTTGGTTTTCGCCAGGCATAATGGGACCCATCTCGTCCAAAAAGTTGACTCAATTTTACCAAAAAGCACCTGGATGATCATCAAGACTCTTGGAAGAAAGTTCTATGGACAGATGATTCAAAGGTATAACTTTTTGGCTAAAATATTTAGGTTGACAGTGCATTTGGAAAGTATTCAGACCCCTTCACTTTTTTCACATTTTGTTATGTTACAGCCTTATTCTAAAATTGATTTTTAAAAAAAATCTCATCAATCTACACACAATACCCCATAATGACAAAGCGAAAAAAGGTTATTTAGACATTTTTGCAAATGTATTAAAAAAACTAAACTGGAATACCTTATTTACAAAAGTATTCAGACCCTTTGCTATGAGTCTCGAAATTGAGCTCAGGTACGTTCTGTTTCCATTGATCATCCTTGAGATGTTTCTACAACTTGATTGGAGTCCACCTGTGGTAAATTCAATTGATTGGACATAATTTGGAAAGGCACACACCTGTCTATATACGTTCCCACAGTTGACAGTGCATGTCAGAGCAAAACAACAAGCCATGAGGTCGAAGGAATTGTCCGTAGAGCTCCCACTGGCCTCCATCATTCTTAAATGGAAGAAGTTTGGAACTACCAAGACTCTTCCTAGAGCTGGCCACCCAGCCAAACTGAGCAATCGGGGGAGAAGGGCCTTGGTCAGGGAGGTGACCAGGGACCCGATGGTCACTCTGACAGAGCTCCAGAGTTCCTCTGTGGAGATGGAAGAACCTTCCAGAAGGACAACCATCTGTGCAGCACTCCAACAATTAGGCCTTTATGTTAGAGTGGCCAGACGGAAGCCACTCCTCAGTAAAAGGCACATGACAGCCTGCTTGGACTTTCAGACCATGAGAAACAAGATTCTCTGATATGATAATATAATAATATAATATGCCATTTAGCAGACGCTTTTATCCAAAGCGACTTACAGTCAAGTTTTTTTTTTTGTGTATGGGTGGTCCCGGGGATCGAACCCACTACCTTGGCGTTACAAGCGCTGTGCTCTACCAGCTGAGCTACAGAGGACCATGATGAAACCAAGATTGAACTCTTTGGCCTGAATGCCAAGCGTCACGTCTGGAGGAAACCTGGCACCATCCCTACGGTGAAGCAATGTGATGGCAGCATCATGCTGTGGGGATGTTTTTCAGCGGCAGGGACTGGGAGAGTGGTCAGGATTGAGGGAAAGATGAACGGAGAAAAGTACAGAGAGATCCTTGATGAAAACCTGCTTCAGAGCGCTCAGGACCTCAGACTGGGACCTTCCAACAGGACAATGACTTTAAGCACACATCCAAGACAACGCAGGAGTGGCTTCGGGACAAGTCTCTGAATGTCCTTGAGAGCCCAAACTTGAACCCAATCGAACATCTCTGGAGAGTCCTGAAAATAGCTGTGCAGCGACGCTCCCCATCCAACCTGACAGAGCTTGAGAGGATCTGCAGCAAATAATGGGAGAAACTCCCCAAATACAGGTGTGCCAAGCTTGTAGAATCATACCCAAGAGGACTCGAGGCTGTAACCGCTTCGAAAGGTGCTTCAACAAAGTACTGAGTAAAGGGTCTAAATACTTAGGTAAATGTGATATTTCCGTTTTTTCTTTGTAATACATTTGCAAAAAATTATAAAAACCTGCTTTTGCTGTGTCATTATGGGGTATTGTGTGTAGATTGATGAGGGAAGATATTTTTTATCCATTTTAGAATAAGTCAAGGGGTCTGAATACTTTCCGAATGCACTGTATGTCGTGTATGGTACTAACCCGAGACCTGTGTCCTCACTCCTCTACCTCTAGCGTGCGGAGGAAGAGGTAGCCCACATGAAAACACAGAACGATCAGATGCAGAAGAAGTGAAGGAGATGGAGAAGATGACGGATGAGTACAACAAGATGAAGATCGTCGTGCAGCACAAAGACTCCATCATGGACCAGCTGAGGAAGGAGACGGACCACGCCAAGCTACAGGTAGCCCAGAGGGACAGAATTACGCATATGATGTCAGGATGTAATTTTACAGGTTGCAAACTGGTTTTCTGGTTGAACCTGGGAAAGTTTTAACACTGCTTTCCATAGACTTTATGAAGCACTTCTAATATCGAATCATTATTGTGAATTGACATGGTGTGAATAATGTACATCCATTGGTGCTGAATAAACAGTGCACCGTTTGCTGTGTTCTTCAGGTCAGAGAGCTGACGGAGCAGATTCAGAGCTGGGCAGAGGAGGATGACCCGGTCATGGCAGCCGTCAATGCCAAGGTTGACGAGTGGAAGGTGGGTGTTCTGACATAATGTACCTGGCTTGGAGGAAAGTCAGCAGGCGATACACTAACAATCAAGTACTGTGTGCTGCTGTCTGTATCACTGAAGAACTTGAAAGCACACAGCACACATATAATTATGTTTATAGTGAATATTTACATGTATTTTTCACACTTTATTTCAGCATAGATAAAAACTCAATGTTTTGGCTTGAAGCCTGTCTTTGTCAAGGCATACTGCCTGGTTAGTTGTTTTCAGTCAGTGGCCCTGATCATCTCTGTTCTTCTGTGAGTGGCCCTGATTGTGTGTGTTTCTATCAGTGGCCCTCATTTGTGTCTGTGATTTGGGATCTTCAGAGAGTGCTGGCTGGGAAGGATGAGCAGATCATGGAGTACCAGCAGATGACCCGTGAGCTGAGAGACAAGCTACGCTCAGCCCAGATGGACACGGACAAGAGCAACATCATCGCCTTGCAGCAGTTCAGTCTCAAAGCTAACAATCCTTATCATCTTTATATAAATAAACTCAGCAAAAAAAGAAACGTCCTCACTGTCAACTGTCAATTTATTTTCAGCAAACGTAACATGTGTAAATATTTGTATGAACATAAGATTCAACAACGGAGACATAAACTGAACAAGTTCCACAGACATGTGACTATCAGGAATTGAATAATGTGTCCCTGAACAAAGGGGGGGTCAAAATCAAAAGTAACAGTCAGTATCTGGTATGGCCACCAGCTGCATTAAGTACTGCAGTGCATCTCCTCATGGACTGCACCAGATTTGCCAGTTCTTGCTGTGAGATGTTACCCCTGCTCTTCCACCAAGGCACCTCAAGTTCCCGGACATTTCTGGGGGGAATGGCCCTAGCTCTCACCCTCCGATCCAACAGGTCCCAGACGTGCTCAATGGGATTGAGATCCGGGCTCTTCGCTGGCCATGGCAGAACACTGACATTCCTGTCTTGCAGGAAATCACGCACAGAACGAGCAGTATGGCTGGTGGCATTGTCATGCTGGAGGGTCATGTCAGGATGAGCCTGCAGGAAGGGTACCACATGAGGGAGGAGGATGTCTTCCCTGTAACGCACAGCGTTGAGATTGCCTGCAATGACAACAAGCTCAGTCCGATGATGCTGTGACACACCGCCCCAGACCATGACGGACCCTCCACCTCCAAATCGATCCCGCTCCAGAGTACAGGCCTTGGTGTAACGCTCATTCCGTTGACGATAAACGCGAATCCGACCATCACCCCTGGTGAGACAAAACCACGACTCGTCAGTGAAGAGCACTTTTTGCCAGTCCTGTCTGGTCCAGCGACGGTGGGTTTGTGCTCATAGGCGACGTTGTTGCCGGTGATGTCTGGTGAGGACCTGCCTTACAACAGGCCTACAAGCCCTCAGTCCAGCCTCTGTCAGCCTATTGCGGACAGTCTGAGCACTGATTGAGGGATTGTGCGTTCCTGGTGTAACTTGGGCAGTTGTTGTTGCCATCCTGTACCTGTCCCGCAGGTGTGAAGTTCAGATGTACCGATCCTGTGCAGGTGAGGTTACACGTGGTCTGCCACTGCGAGGACGATCAGCTGTCCGTCCTGTCTCCCTGTAGCGCTGTCTTAGGCGTCTCACAGTACGGACATTGCAATTTATTGCCCTGGCCACATCTGCAGTCCTCATGCCTCCTTCAGCATGCCTAAGGCACGTTCACGCAGATGAGCAGGGACCCTGGGCATCTTTCATTTGGTGTTTTTCAGAGTCAGTAGAAAGGCCTCTTTAGTGTCCTAAGTTTGCATAACTGTGACCTTAATTGCCTACCGTCTGTAAGCTGTTAGTGTCTTAACAACTGTTCCACAGGTGGATGTTCATTAATTGTTTATGGTTCATTGAACAAGCATGGGAAACAGTGTTTAAACCCTTTACAATGAAGAGCTGTGAAGTTATTTGGATTTTTACGAATTATCTTTGAAAGACAGGGTCCTGAAAAAGGGACGTTTCTTTTTTTGCTGAGTTTATATTTCAATTCAATTGAGATAATTCATTGTTCCTGTTAGGGGACTTCTTGTGCAGATGCAAATTATTTACAAAAACAGTGGCATTGTATACTATATTAGGACATCTCTAAATCTCTCAGTTCAAACAATGTGGTTTTTGTTTATCATCCTTTGTCTTTGAAATATGTGCTGAATTACTGTATTTTCACCTTTTGAAATGCAGTATCTTTATCTTCAAAAAAGGTATGTTTGTGTTCCATGTCCATCTATGATTTCCACTGCAGCTTCTCTTCTTCTTTTGTTTCTGTTCAATCTGTTCTTTTCTCCTGTCCTTACTTGCTCTTCTCTTCCATCACTGACTCGTGGCCAGGTCATATATGAGCTAATTGGTGTAAGTTACTCGGTCCTCCATATTTCTTGTCTATTTTGCATACCTCTCTGCTTTCCTTTAATCTCCTTTCACAATATCTCATGTATTTTATTACACAATATTATCCACAAATCAGAACCTGCTGTGATCTTCTGTGGTTGTCCTTGTATTAACGTTGGCTCCGCTCTGCCTGTTCATCCTATTCGATCCAAACAAATAAAATGTTTGTGAATGTCTTCAAGGCTGTGCAAGAGCGGGACAATCAAATCAAGATGTTGACAGAGCAAGTGGAGCAGTATACGTGGGAGATGGAGAGAAATTCCCTGCTCATAGAGGAACTCAAGAAGCCCCTGAAGAAAGACAGAGGTGCGTGTCAAATTCTCTTGTTGTAAAAGCACATGGATCTGGATCCTGTTAAAGGGAAGCCGTTTGGCGCGTTAGCATGAGCTCTTTAGTTTAGTGTAGCCATAGACTCTCTGAAGTAGCATTGTTAGCAATAGCTCATAGGTCCATGGTTTTTCCCCAGGTTTGCCATCAGCCATCCAGCAGAGGAACCTGGACGAGCTAAATGCTAAGCTGCAGGCCACTGAGACAAGAGCACGGGAGGGAGAACGTGTGGCCGAGCTACCCGAGATAGACGCCAGGGACAAAGAGCTCAGTGACACCCTAAACCACATGAGACTCTACGAGTCTGTACGTCTGCCCAGCCTGCTCAGTTTCACACACCCAGTTGCTTAAGGGTCCTCCAACAAGCCCACGTTCTTCTACACTAATCAAAAACCAATTATCATGACCCCTGTGGTTATTCTCATGACTCATGCAACAGGCTTTGTTTTTGAGATGTCTGGTCTGTCAAAGCTTGTATCCTAGATTAAACAAAGTTCGAAAGCCATGGCTGATCTCTCTAGGCTCTCTTTACTGTCCTGCAGGGCACTGATGGTCTGCAGGTGGCCATCGCTGAGATCAAAGAGTGTAAGAATCAGATGAGAGTGCGAAACCGCGAGGCGGAGGCCATGACTACAGATATCAACCAGATGGAAATGAGAATCAACGACCTCTTGGACGAGAACGCAGATCTAAAGGAAAGACTCTGTCACAAAGCAAATTAACTAACGTCAAGTCAAATTTTATTTAAAATTCATTTCACAATGTCTCAACACACTTTACAGACAGATTTTTAAAATGTAAAATAAGAACAAGAAACAACAGCAAAGAAATCAAAAACAGAGAGACGGCAGATGCAAAATAAATGTGTTGTAATGTGTTATATTTCATAAAGTTAGTGAATGACCTTAGTAGCTAGACATTTCCGTTGTTGGAGTGGATATCCTTTCATTCAGTTTCTGTTTTTCATCCATCATCCTCTTTCATAAGGTCTGGAGCCCAAAGAGGAAGTGGATCTGACGGAATTCAGAAGAACCGAATCCCTGAAACAGCGGCAGTTCAAAGCAGAGAACCAGGTTCTCACCAAAGAGGTAAATTGGGATGGGAGGGAACCTCTTGACTTCAATTTGACTGTGTCCCAATTGGCACCCTATTCCCTACATAGTGCACTACCTTTGACAAGAGCCCTATGGACACTGGTCAAAAGTAGTGCACTATACTATGGGCACAGGTCAAAAGTAGTGCACTATATAGGGAATAGGGTGCCATTTGGAACAAAACCTTTAGCTCTGCCAGTGGCCCTGTTTCCCTTATGACCCCATTTGACCACACAGATCGAACGACTGGAAGAGGAGAGACTTGAACTGAAGAAACAAATCAGGCGAATGGTCATGGACAAAGGTAAATACCAGAGGTGGGACCAAGTCACTATTATTCGAGTCACAAGCAAGTCTCAAGTCACAAGGTCTGAGTCTCAAGTAGAATGGGTCAAGACTCGAGTCAAGTCCAAGTTGTGCATTCTAACTAGAGTCGAGTCACAAGTTTTCAAGTCAAGTCTCAAGTCGAGTTAAAAATAAGATCTATACATGCAATGACTTGTTCAACTACAAATCTTTGTCTATTTATTGAGGCTACCAGGCAGCCCTTTTCATTATTTAGTCTACAACACATTTTGATTAGCTTATGTAATCGTAAAATAGGGGGCTTGTAGCAGTCGCAAGGGCATGAAATCAGCAGAAGGCAAGGCAGGTTGACGTGTTCAGAGTGTAGATTTATTTACAGGTCTTGTTGATCCAATGGTGAAAGTGCCATATCATCCAACATATACAAGTAGATTTACCAAATATACATGTGCAATAGCCCAAAATAAATAGCCTTTGTATCAGGCTTAACCTGTCCTATCTGAACGGACACAGGTAGAGCAGAGGGCAAGAGTCCCCTTGAGAAACCAAATCGAATATGTCTCAGTATGAAAATGTATGCACTCACTAACTGTAAGTCGCTCTGGATAAGAGCGTCTGCTAAATGACTCAAATGTAAAATGTCTAACAGGAGCTCAAACAGGTAGGCCTATATAATATAAGCACATGGCCCCCAGAACCATACAATTACCCAATTGGCAATTACAACAAATAAACTGGTTCTACAATGTAAAAGGCAATTTCCACATCCATTGTTACATTGGTACATTCATCTTAATCAGACTTAATGATTATTAATGATATTTCAACACCATGCATACATGGAACAATCATATTCTATTTTCAATGTTCTGACTCCAATGCGTGGAGCATAGGCCACGTAGCCTATTTCTATTTGCACTGAGGCGCACACGCTCCCTTTACACACAACCAGAATTATGCACAACCAGAATGACAGAGACATAGGACACAGACACACGGAACTCCAACATAACCCAGGAAATATGATCAAAGGAAACCATACATTAAATTAAATAAACAGAACTTCTACCTCATGAGTCTTGTGAACATTCATGTGCACAATAAACATTGCGCCCACTCAGAGGGTAAGAAATGGTTGGCTAAATGAAAATGTATCATAGGCCTATCAAACATGAAACAGAAATGTCTACATGTTGCAATAAACGGTATGGGGATGGAATGATGAAACGCTAGCAATTATTGTAGGATTAGATGGAATAAAGATTTACCACATAGGGCCTATGCATTTAAACGTTTGAAAGCAAGAGCAAACATTTCAACAAAAAGCGCTCTCCACTGGCAGGAGTTTGGAGAGCGCAAGTGTAGAGCCGTGCATATGGGGCGTCTTCGCCACAGTAATAATTCATTTTAAACAAAATCCAAACGCAAGCTTCATGAGTAAATTATACATTTCAAGCGGTTGTTACATACCAAAATACCAGTTGGCCTATGCTAGTAAGTGTTGCCCCATTGCTGATGAGCTTGCAAAGTAAACCGTTAATATTCATGATCACCAAACAATTTTTGGAGCTACATATTTATTTATTATGGCAATCCTCTTCCTATAATTTGACGTTTGCACAATCATATCTATAGCTGTACAAAAATTTCCAAAAATGTGTTTTCACTTTGTTATTATGGGGTATTGTGTGTAGATTGATGAGGGAAAAAAACAATTTAATCAATTCTAGAGAAAGTCAAGGGGTCAGAATATTTTCTGAATGCACTGTATATGCTTTCTTATGTACATCATTTCCCACATGTTTTACAGTATGAGCATCTGAGGAGAGAGCTGAACCATAAGGAGAGAGAGTTGGCGCTTCAGAGGACCCAGACATCTCAGTTTAAATCCAAATGTAGGTACAAACTGGGGTTATATCGTACAGTAGGAAAGGTTGAAGTACAGGGATGGCTACTCTGCATTTCACTAGCTATATGCTGTCAGAATTGTACACTATATCTTCCTCAATACTATTTCCTAGTAAAGGACTTGGTGCTGTCAATGCATTGAACAGATACTGTGGATGTCCAAAGGAATCCCTGTACACAGTTAGATAAGCTCTGCTGTCTTCTTCTATGTGTCCCTTAGTTGAAGCATTGTTTATGTAGAACAAGCAGCTGGAACAAGTTATGAAGGAGATACTTCAGGCAATCCAGGACACTCAACAGAAAAACCCCTCTTCACAAGCTGCTGTCTTCGGTCTGGAGAGGCTGGTCCATGTAAGTGCAGCCAGTTGCACCATCACAGCTGTCCACATTTGATATGTTCTCACTTTATTATACACATTTTTGACCCCAACCCTGCTCCCATGTTCCATGTTCCAGGCCATGATGAAGAACTCTGATGGGAAGTTTGACGCCAGCCTTCACCTGAAGGCCCAGGTAGACCAGCTGACAGGAATGAACGACGAGATCAGACCGGAAATGAGGTCAGCTCGGGAGGAATCTGCCAGCGCCATGAGTCAACTGGTCAAAGGCAAAAAAATTGTATCCAGCTGGCTGGTGACACTTACTGACTTACTGTACAGGATGTAGGGCTTGTTATGAGAAAGCCACAGAATGATCTTTCACTGATTCATGAGTGTAGATCAGTGGTCACCAAATGGTCGATCGCAATCGACTGGTCGATCTCCAAGGCATTCCTAGTCGATCGCGAAACATTTATATAAAAAAAACAACGATAAATCCTTGCATTCCTACTTTTTCTTTGTCTTGCGCTGTTGCAGATAAGTGTACTTATTTCAGCTGCCCTGTGCGCTGGACAGGTGAAGTGTTCCCATTTTGAACCATTTCATGTGTCTGAAGGTACAAATTCCTCCTACTAGACCTACCGCTAGCCAATCGGATTGCTCAGATCACCGTGTCATGTCTGCAGCTTCCTCGTTGATACTGTGATTTCAAAATGTCTAAAACCATGACAAGAGAGAGACTGTCAACAAATACAGGAAAGAGCTGCTGCTTTTATGAGTGTTCATGTTGAAGTTTTATTCAACTCTGTCAACACTTTTTATTCCACACTTTTATAATCCATGAAATGCGCTTCTCCACTCGCGGTGCAACCAGCACTGGAGCTTCAATGAATGAGTTAGCAAAGTGTGTCGACAGGCTTGCATTGTTATTAGCGGCTGTGTGTTTTTTTAATATAGAGGAATATTTAACTTTCTCTGGTCATAGGAGTAACAAGATGAATTTGTGCATGAGCCAACTTGTTAATTTGTTTTTTTTTGTCAACTTGTTATTTATTATCTTGCCACAGGCAGACCGTTTGGCAAGGCAACAAGGTAGTGTTGTTAAAGGCAGAAGCAGTCAGGTACCTGCAGACTACGAATAACTCAGTGGGAAGTAGTAATGTCATCCAATCCATATAAACCTTTTACATACTGACACTGTAATTTCACTCCACCTCAATAGCTTAAGGCAGGGGTGTCAAACTCATTTTCCCCGTGGGCCGCATTCGTCTTCCCGAGTGGCGCAGCGGTCTAAGGCACTGCATCGCAGTGCTAGAGGCGTCACTACAGATCCGGGTTCAATCCAGGGCTGTGTCGCAGCCGGCCGCAACCGGGAGACACATGAGGCAGCGCACAATTGGCCTAGCATTGTCCGGGTTAGGGGAGGGTTTGGCCGGCTGGGATGCCCTTGTCCCATCACGCTCTAGCGACTCCTTGTGGTGAGCCGGGCGCATGCACGCTGACTTCGGTTGCCAGCTGTACGGTGTTTCCTCCGACACATTGGTGCGGCTGGCTTCCGGGTTAAGCGAGCAGTGTGTCAAGAAGCAATGCGGTTTGGCAGGGTCGGCTCTCGACCTTCACCTCTCCCGAGTCCGTACGGGAGTTGCAGCGATGGGACAAGACTGTAACTACCAATTGGATATCACTAAATTGGGGAGAAAAAGGAGTAAAAACCAATATTTATAATATTTCATAGCCGTCAAAATGTGCAAAAAATTGTTATCTATCCATCCCTTTTGGAATTTTCGATGCTCCCTGACTGTCTGTCTAGCTTTCTATTCGATGACTGTTCGCAAGCTGGACAGAGTGAAAAGACTATAAATGTAGGTCCATTATGAGTCTGGACGGGACGGGGTGATCTTTAGGACCCTGAATCTCCCCGACGACATGGCCCCATCCAGCACTGAGATCATCAGCTCTCTGAATGAGTTTGCCATTCGACTGTTACAGGTCAGTCTCACCCAACTCCGCCTACAGCTGTTTTCCTAATTGGTTGTGTTTGAGATTGACAACCTTGCAGTGGGCGACTGCAATTTAGTCGATCTCAAACACGCACCATCTATTGTCTTTCTCTCTGTAACATTTCTCTCAAATGATCTGAGAGACATTTTCACACACACAATGTTATTTTATAGGAGTTCAAAAACGAGGAGGAGTCAAGCCAGCAGCTGGTGGCAGCCTTGGAGGAGTACAAGGGGAAGTTTGCTGTGAGGATCATCTCTACAAGGAGCACCAAAGGTACAGTAGACCAGTTGGTTGGGATGATCTGCAGATTGAGGACCAAACTTACTGTAAATGTATTACAGTGGTGCTTGGCACCTAACAAATCAAAACACACCCATAAGCTTAAAAAGATCAACATGGACATCCCCCATTATCGTTAAGAATAGTAATGTCGGGCCAGCCCCCTATTTTTTATGGCACCAGAAAAGGCAATGTGTCATTTGAACGTGGTCATCGTGACACACCTACGTACACCAAAACTGATACCCACAAAGCTGAAAAGAACACAAAACTCTAACTTATCTCTGTGTATTATGATGATTGTAGTGAGAAGGAGGCCTGGCAGAAGGAGAGACATACTTTCACAGAGATGAAGAACAAGCTAGAGGAGCAGAAGGAGGTGGACAGTGAAGCTCAAAGAGTTCAATGTGAGTGACAGAGCCAAACATTACGCATTCACACAAGTGGCTCAAACACTGTATCTCTAAACTTAGGCATTATGTATTTCTAATCCCCTCTGTGTCCAATAGCACTGGCTGGAAGCACTGCAGAAGGATCCAGAGGAGCTGTGGAGGCAGGTGGCAGGATGACGGTGCTGCGTGTGAACGAGAAGACCCTGACACATCGTTACACCACCCTGCTGGAGCAGGAGCAGCACCTCCGCAAGAACAGCAACCTGAACAATGACTTCAGCACCATGCAGGCCTCCGTCACACAGAGGATAGGATACCTGATCAGATACAAGGTACACATGCCCTCTGATTGGCTGAAATGTCGCCATATTGCATACACCTATCGAGGAACAATAAAAGTAGGGTCAAGTGTAGATGGTTTCATACTGCCAATAAATAACTGTGTAGTGTATATTTTTTAATGACTGGTATAGATAATCAATTTAACCCGTTTTAAAGCTGCAAGATGTAAGTTTTTGGGCAACCTGACAAAATTCAATTAGAAATGTGAGTTATAGATCTGTTATTTTCATTGAAAGCAAGTCTAAGAAGTGGTAGATCTGTTCTATATGTGTTATTTCTATGCTTCCCATTCTTAAGTTTAGTTTTTTGTGTCTTTTACTTTTGGTTTTGTACCCCAGCTTCAAACAGCTGAAAATACAATATTTTTGGTTATGGAAAATATATTTCACATCAATTTAGATGGTACAATGATTCTCTACACTATGCTTGCTTGTTTTGTCACAAACTGAAATTAGGCAAACTATTAGAATTTTAGCAACCATGAAATGGTGGAGGGAGTTCTGCATTGTGTACCTTTAAGGAAGAATCAATCGTTTTCTTTACAAGACTTGATATAGCATTTTCTTACTTTCCACTTTTGTAGGAAATAGCTGCTTATAAGATGTCAGGGCTGCAGAAAGAGCCAATAAACAGTACACAGAGCTGATGGTGAAGTACAGGGATATGCTGCAGATAGACAACCACCTGGTAAAAAGGACCACCAACCTTCAACACCTAGAGGTAGGAAAACAACAATATATACATTACCGTTCAAAAGTTTGGGGTCACTTAGAAATTCGAAAGAAAATAAAAAAAATTGTCCATTAAAATAACATCAAATTGATCAGAAATACAGTGTAGACATTGTTAATGTTGTAAAAGGCTATTGTTGCTGGAAACGGCTGATTTTTAATGGAATATCTACATAGGCATACAGAGGCCCATTATCAGCAACCATCAGTCCTGTGTTCTAATGGCACGTTGTGTTTGCTAATCCAAGTTTATCATTTTAAAAGGCTAATTGATCATTAGAAAACCATTTTGCAATTATGTTAGCACAGCTGAAAACTGTTGTGCTGATTTAAAGAAGCAATAAAACTGTCCTTCTTGAGACTAGTTGAGTATCTGCAGCATCAGCAATTTATTTGATTATAGGCTCAAAATGGCCAGAAACAAATAACTTTCTTCTGAAACTCGTCAGTCTATTCTTGTTCTGAGAAATGAAGGCTATTCCATGCGAGAAATTACCAAGAAACTCCGGGATGCTGACCTTCTAGGCAGAGTTGCAAAGAACTCTGTAGCTCAATTGGTAGAGCATGGCGCTTGTAACGCCAGGGTAGTGGGTTCGATCCCCGGGACCATGCACACATGACTGTAAATCGCTTTGGATAAATGGCATATTATATTATATTATATTATTTTGTCAGACCTCAAATAATGCAAAGAAAATAAGTTCATGTTCATTTTTAAACAACACAATAGTAATGTTTTAACTTAGGAAGAGTTCAAAAATCAATATTTGGTGGAATAACCCTGATTTTCAATCACAGCTTTCATGCGTCTTGGCATGCTCTCCACCAGTCTTTCACATTGATGTTGGGTGACTTTATGCCACTCGTGGCGCAAGAATTCAAGCAGCTCAGCTTTGTTTGATGGCTTGTGACCATCCGTCTTCCTCTTGATCACATTCCAGAAGTTTTCAATGGGGTTCAGGTCTGGAGATTGGGCTGGCCATGACAAGGTCAAGTTTTCTTCCAGGACAACCTTGTACGTGGCTTGATTTATTCGTCCTTGACAAAGACAAATCTGCCCGATTCCAGCCTTGCTGAAGCACCCCCAGATCATCACAGATCCACCACCAGATTTCACAGTGGGTGCGAGACAATGTGGCTTGTAGGCCTCTCCAGGTCTCCGTCTAACCATTAGACGACCAGGTGTTGGGCAAAGCTGAAAATTTGACTTATCAGAGAAGATGACCTTACTCCAGTCCTCTACGGTCCAATCCTTATGGTATTTTGCAAACCTCAGCCTGGCTCTTCTTTGCTTCTCATTGATGAAGGGAGCCAGAAACTTTTTTCTAGCTTTGCACGACTTCAGCCCTGCCATTAGGAGCCTGTTTTGAACCGTCCTCGCCGTGCACTTCACCCCAGCTGCCGTTTGCCATTATTTGTGTAGGTCACTTGATGTCATCCTACGGTTGTTGAGTGACATTCGAATGAGTTGGCAGTCATCCTGGTCAGTAGAGAGTCGTTTTCGCCCTCTGCCAGTCTGTAGCTTTGTTGTCTCCAATGTCTGCTGCTTGACCTTGTTCTTATGAACCGCCGTCTTTGAAATGTTAAGGATGGAAGCAACCTGAAGCTCACTGTATCCCTCTGCCAGTAAAGCCAGAATTGAAACCTTATTTTCCTCACTCAAAACTTTCATTTTCAACTCTTTTGGCATGGTCAATAGTTATTTTTTGATTAATATTACTTTTGAGGTACTATTAGCACTGTTTATATATATACAGTGGGGAAAAAAAGTATTTAGTCAGCCACCAATTGTGCAAGTTCTCCCACTTAAAAAGATGAGAGAGGCCTGTAATTTTCATCATAGGTACATGTCAACTATGACAGACAAATTGAGAAAAAAGGATTTTTAATGAATTTGTTTGCAAATTATGGTGGAAAATAAGTATTTGGTCACCTACAAACAAGCAAGATTTCTGGCTCTCACAGACCTGTAACTTCTTCTTTAAGAGGCTCCTCTGTCCTCCACTCGTTACCTGTATTAATGGCACCTGTTTGAACTTGTTATCAGTATAAAAGACACCTGTCCACAACCTCAAACAGTCACACTCCAAACTCCACTATGGCCAAGACCAAAGAGCTGTCAAAGGACACCAGAAACAAAATTGTAGACCTGCACCAGGCTGGGAAGACTGAATCTGCAATAGGTAAGCAGCTTGGTTTGAAGAAATCAACTGTGGGAGCAATTATTAGGAAATGGAAGACATACAAGACCACTGATAATCTCCCTCGATCTGGGGCTCCACGCAAGATCTCACCCCGTGGGGTCAAAATGATCACAAGAACGGTGAGCAAAAATCCCAGAACCACACGGGGGGACCTAGTGAATGACCTGCAGAGAGCTGGGACCAAAGTAACAAAGCCTACCATCAGAAACACACTACGCCGCCAGGGACTCAAATCCTGCAGTTCCAGACGTGTCCCCCTGCTTAAGCCAGTACATGTCCAGGCCCGTCTGAAGTTTGCTAGAGTGCATTTGGATGATCCAGAAGAGGATTGGGAGAATGTCATATGGTCAGATGAAACCAAAATAGAACTTTTTGGTAAAAACTCAACTCGTCGTGTTTGGAGGACAAAGAATGCTGAGTTGCATCCAAAGAACACCATACCTACTGTGAAGCATGGGGGTGGAAACATCATGCTTTGGGGCTGTTTTTCTGCAAAGGGACCAGGACGACTGATCCGTGTAAAGGAAAGAATGAATGGGGCCATGTATCGTGAGATTTTGAGTGAAAACCTCCTTCCATCAGCAAGGGCATTGAAGATGAAACGTGGCTGGGTCTTTCAGCATGACAATGATCCCAAACACACCGCCCGGGCAACGAAGGAGTGGCTTCGTAAGAAGCATTTCAAGGTCCTGGAGTGGCCTAGCCAGTCTCCAGATCTCAAGCCCATAGAAAATCTTTGGAGGGAGTTGAAAGTCCGTGTTGCCCAGCAACAGCAACAGCCCCAAAACATCACTGCTCTAGAGGAGATCTGCATGGAGGAATGGGCCAAAATACCAGCAACAGTGTGTGAAAACCTTGTGAAGACTTACTGAAAACGTTTGACCTGTGTCATTGCCAACAAAGGGTATATAACAAAGTATTGAGAAACTTTTGTTATTGACCAAATACTTATTTTCCACCATAATTTGCAAATAAATTCATTAAAAATCCTACAATGTGATTTTCTGGAGAAAAAAAATCTAATTTTGTCTGTCATAGTTGACGTGTACCTATGATGAAAATTACAGGCCTCTCTCATCTTTTTAAGTGGGAGAACTTGCACAATTGGTGGCTGACTAAATACTTTTTTCCCCCCACTTTTTTCCCCCAATCTTTACGAAGATTATATACATATCCTTTAAAAATATATATTTTCCTTTATTACTTTCCAACCCCACCACCCCTCCCTTAATTGGAGTAAACTAGTGAACAACATCGCTTAGGCCTATACTTCCAGCTTATACATACTATATACATTTTATGGACACAAAGTCTATTTTATAATAGTTATATTTTGTTAGTTTTTACTCCTGAACTTCCGCTACCCTCAACCTCTCCGATCATTTTCATGATGTCCATCCGGTTTGCTACTATATGCCATATCTTTCAAACTGTGGTCTTTCACAAAAGTTCTTAACCTATATACTTATTATGGACACAGTATGTTTTACATTAGTTATCTTGTTGTTATTAGTTGTTATTAGTCCCAACCTTCAGCTCCATTCAACCTCTCCCATCTATCTCTTAACGCCATCCATATTGGATTTCTATTTGCCATATATTTTTCAAATGTACTGTGATGTTTCACAAATGTTCTGAACCCTTCTATTCTCATTGTTTCTACAGATTGTAAATTGTAAATAAACAATTTTGCTAAAGTATTATTATATTATTGATCATTTGACTTTGACTTTTCAGATCACCCAGTAGTGCTATCTGCAGGGTTAGCTCCAGGTAAATATTGCAATCCTTCAGCCATTCCTGGACCTGTGACCAAAACCAAGCTACAAATGGACAGTACCAAAACAAATTATCTAATGATTCTGTCTCTTCGCAGCAAAATCTGCAGAGCTGGGAAGATTGTATCCGCCATATAAATAACATTCTATTGGTAGCAAGAATTGTGTATAATAATTTAAATTGAAACATTTTAAGTTTTGAATCCGGTGTCGTATTGCGTATCAGTTCATAAACCATTTGCCATGGAATCGGTACGTCAAAAATATGATATAATTTACGAAGATTATACCTTTTTTAAACATTTTCTCAAAAAAAGTTTTTTATCAATTCGTATATTTGAGTTTAAACACTTTGTTGCATTATTTGTTCTGTCGTTTCTGGAGGATTACATTGAAATTGCAACCAACTTTCTATGGCTTGTTTTAGAAATAGTGATATTTGGGAGATGAGTTCCTTTTCAAATAACTGAAAGTGAGAGGTTGTAATCTGAATAAAGGGAAAAGGCCATTCTTGAACATGGGGTGAGACAATCTTACTAATTTGCTAGAGAACCAGTTCGGATTTACGTATAACTTTAATATGACTGAAGCTTTTAGTGATAGGTCTAATGCTTTAATATTTAATCATTTCTGTCCTCCGAATTCATATTCATTATATAAATAGGCCCATTTAATTTTGTCTGGCTTGCCGTTCCAAATAAAATTGAATATTTTTTTCTCGTATAATAAAAAAAACAAAGTTTCGCTAGGTGTAGGCAAGACCATAAGCAAATAGGTAAACTGGGATCAGGGTGATTTTTTTCCACAAATAGACAGGTATTTACTTTTCCATGGTAGCAAGATCTTATCTATTTTTGCTAACTTTCTGTTAAAATGTATTGGAATGAGATCATTTATTTATTTTGGAATATGTATACCGAGTATATCCACATCACCATCAGACCATTTTATTGGTAAACTACACAGTAATGTAAAAGTTGTATTTTTTAGTGATCAGTACGTAATATAGTAAATGTATCATAATTTGGTTGTAATCCAGAGAGGTTAGGAAATGTATCTAGATCCTCTATGAGGCTGTGGAGGGATTCAAGAAAACATGAATCATCAGCTATGAATAGCAGGCCTGGTTTCCCAGATTGTTCATAGTGTTCTATTGTTTCCAGTACTTGCCTTATATTATCTCCAATGTATCGTCCATGTAAAAAAACCTGTCTGATTAGAATGAATAATGTCTGACAATACCTTTTTAATTCTATGCGCTGTACATTTTGCTAGAATTTTTGCATCCCAACACTGAAGTGTAAGGGGCCTCAAATTATTGTTGCTAACTGTACATTTTTCCTTATATCTTAGGGTGAGAATGTGTCCCTTGGTGAGCACATTTCTGCCCTCAATAAAGAGCTGGAGATTACTAAGGAGGAACTCCACACTCTGGAGCAGGCATGGGAGCACACCAACACATTAAGTATGCAAAGGTTCACAACTGAGTGTGTATAATTTGATACGCTTTTCATGTCTTTTCTATTTTCACGTTTAGAACATGGAGATGGCGTGCCAATCGTTGGATGACAACATAGCATGGAAAAATTCACCCAGAGACAAACAAAAAAAGTAACTGTGAAATCAGTGAGCCCATAGTGTCTCTCAGAAGCCCTGCTGTGATTTTTCACCTGGGATCATTCCTTTGCTCTCGGGTGGTGAGAGCAGCATGGACAAAGCAGCGAAGGCGGTGTCCAACAGTGAGATTGTTTCTGCCCCCGGAAGGATCACCATGCTGGAGATGAAGGATCAGAATGCGCGGCAGAGGGCCGCCTCAGGAACTCCCTCAGATGAACACCTCAGGAACTCCCTCAGACAGGTGGAGGAGCGCAACGTGGAGCTGGAGACCAAGTTCACCGAGGTAGGAGAGATGAGAGAGCTATCTTCATAGTGAAGGAGTTAGGGAGGGAATAAAGTAAAAAGACAAATCTCTGTTTCCTGTGGCAATGGACATTAAAGGAAACTTCTTCTAGAATTTCATTTGATAGTTTATTGGATAGTGACAGATACAAACACATGGACACATTGAATAAATAATCAGATTTTGCATTTGATAGATGGTGTGTACACTGAGTGTACAAAACATTATGAACACCTGCTCTTGCCATGACATGGACTGACCAGTTGAATCCAGGATAAAGCTATGATCCCTTATTGATGTCACTTGTTAAATCCACTTCAATCATTGTATATGAAGGGGAGGAGACAGGTTAAAGAAGGATTTTTAAGCCTTGAGACAATTGAGACATGGATTGTGTATATGTGTGCCATTCAGAGAGTGAATGGGCAAGACAAAATATTTAAGTGCCTTTGAAAGGGGTATGGTAGTAGATGCCAGGCGCACCGGTTTGAGTGTGTCAAGAACTGCAACGCTGCTGGGTTCTCTTTCAGTCGACTCGGTTCAACATCTCACTATGGGACACGCCCTCTTTTGTGGTTCATTGGTTGAAACCTTATTAAATCATGCCTAACAGGCCAATCAGAGCTTTGTGGGTGTACGCCCTGCATGTCTATATAACACCCTGCACTGCTCTGGTTTCCTCATTCTTTGCCCCTTCACGAGTCTATTTGGTTACTATCTGGTTACTAGCCCGCTAAGCAGCTTTCTTCAGAAAACTAGTTCTCAACTTAACTGTTCCTTTCGGTGTGGGTTACCACCCCACCACGGAGCGTTGAGTGGCTTATTTTCTATTTTCAGGAATTCTGCTAACTTCAGCTTCACTTTCCGCGTGAAGTTACCTCAGTTAGCTTGTTAGCAGCACCTTTTGTCATTGTCTAGCTATAGTACACCTGTTGCCTGGCCTACACACAATTAGCATCATTAGCTAGCTAGCTCCAATGCTTTTGCATCCCGTCAATAGAAGGTTCCCACAAGTTTTAGCTACTTCTACCCATGGTCTCTAGCTGTCCGTCAGTTCCCACCTTTCGGAGTTAGCTAGCTGAACTTTCGAGTGTCTTAGCTAGCTAGTGGGCTAACGGCACCGCTGGCATTTTAGCTAGCAACCTCTGGGCTAAAGTTCCATTCGGTTTGTTTGGTTAGCATGAGCGGTGCTGTTTCATTCAGTGTGTCACCCCACCGTTGAAGCACCGTCCCTTTTACATTCCCCTGTGAAAGATAACCGAGTCGGCAATTGGTATTTCATGCGACGGTTTGGCCAGCTGGCTATCATAACTCAGGTAAAGATAGCCAGCTAATTAGCTAGCATACCTGGTAAATCTTTCTGTTTCTGCTTACCTGGCTCAAGCTCACGTTACCCCGTGTCTCTCCCGACTTCACGTCCTAGTAGCAGCGTGTGGAGTAGCTAGCTAGCTAGCTAACCCCCTACAATTCCATTTGCTTTTGTCCGTCCTGGTCAAAACAAGATGTCTACAGGCTTACTGGCCAAGTCATCAGGGAAGGGGGAGAAAAAGCAGTGCAAGCCTAGCAAAGCTTGCCCTGGCAAGTCCCGGACGGATTCCCATCCGCTCTGTACTACTTGCCTCAGCGTTGAACACGCAATGGAGGCTCTTGTGTGCATTGCACTCAGCTGGGCTCCGGTGTCCTTAATGTAGAGGGAAGTACATGGGAAGTATTGCCCAGGCCTCGTCCTTGCTCGAGGACGACTCCGTTGATAACGAAGTCCCAGAGGAGGGAGAAGCTACTCAGGCATCCCCTCCACCTGCGCTTCAGGCTGATTCGGAGAACCCCCATCTTTCCTGGAGGGGCGGACCTTCCTTAATTCCGACAAATCTGGAAGTGAGGATGACAGCATGTCTCTTGCCGCATCAGGCAGCGCCCTCTCTGACCAGGAGATGGATTACACCGCTGAAGAAGAATTTCTCTCAGTTTGTGCTACCCAGCCAGACTGAAGAGGTAGGGCAGGAGTCAATAACTTACCTCCCCTTTTTCGAGGCAATCAGACGTGCTGCCACCAAACTTGATGTTGAGTATCCCACGCCTCCCCCACCTTCCAAGAAGACTAGGATGGATGGAAACTCCTGTCAGAGTAATTCTACAATTCTACTTCCCAGACTGTCTGGAGTTGTTGGAGTCTTCCTGGGTGGAGCCACTCAAGTCACCTTCTCCTGTGACTGGCTACCCCCACTTGGATATTCACGGCATGGAGTCGTCAGGATAACTCAGCCTTCTTCCCGTGGAGCCTACCCTGGCTGAGCACCTCGACACGAAGGCTTTGAGCTCCTGTTACTCTGCCCCCAAGCTCATTCATCCCAATGACCGCTTCACAGCGTCCATATATGATAGGATCTACTGATCTGCAGCTCAGGAGGGGCACTCCGTGAACGCAGCGTCCCTCCTCTCATTCTACATGGCGGTACAGGCTAAAGAGCTGTGCGACTCCCTGGCGAACGGTGGCACCGTCGACTAGGAGCAGTTAATGGAGCTAAGTCACCTTGCCAACCATACCAAAAGGGTGTCTGAGAAGGAGATGGGAAAGATCCTGAATGGACAGATCGATCCCACCAGACTATTTGGACCAGCCATATCGGAGATACAGCCGAGGTTCGATTCTAAGAAAAAGGAGACTGAGGCTCTGGGCTCCCTGTTACCATGGAAACAAGCCCCGAAGCCCCAGAAGCCCTTGTTCGCCCAGGTCGTCACCATGAGGCCTCCCTCCCAGAACAGGAGGAACACTAAGAAGCCTCAGCAGGGCTTCGTCAGCCATTATGACTTGGTCCCCAAACCCATCCTGGATTTACGGCACCTCCACAAGCATCTGAGAGTATACAGATTTTGAATGCTAATGTATTGCATGCTGTTAGATTTGATTCGGCCAAACGAGTGGTGAACGATGCTTATTTCCACATCAGAGTTTATCCTGCACACAGCAGATATCTGAGGTTCGCCTTCGAGGGCATAGCTTACGAATATCATTCGGTCTGTCCCTTGCCCCACGGACATTCACGAAGTGTGCCGAAGCCGCTCTAGCCCCCCTACGGGAGAGAGGCTTAAGAGTCCTGACGTACATCGACAACTTGATTGATCTGCGCGGACACTTGGGCTCAGGCAGCGGCGCACACATCCCAGCTGTTGTCGCACCTGCTCGCTCTAGGCTTCAGGATAAATCGTGCCAAAAGCTCGCTCTTACCGACCCAGCAGAAAATAATTTGGGATTGACGAGACAGATCTTGCTATGGAACAGCGAACATCACCCCCCCCCCACTCTGGACAGAGTTAGAGCGAACGGTCTGTCCCTCATCCTGATAGCCCCGCATTGGCCCGGGAAGCCATGGCTGGCTGTACCTCTCCTGTAGGCACAACCATGGCACCTCCCACAGCGCAGGGATCTCCTATCCCAAGTGCAGGGTGAAATATTCCACCCTCATCCCGAGCTGATGGATCTCTGGGCCTGGCCCGTGAGAGGTTTAACTTAGACTCTGTGGGCTTGCCATCCGAACGTGGTTGGCACAGTTCAGAGCACCAGAGCCCCTTCTTCAAGAGGTCTTTACGACCTGAAGTGGAGGGTATTTGAGAGCTGGTGTGAGAGACCTGCCGTTCTCTCTTCCTACAGGAATTGCTCGACAAGGTCAAGGCCTTTTCCACCGTTAAGGTATACTTGGCAGCGATCTCAGCCTGCCATTTAGGAGTTTTATGAAGGGAGCGTGCCGTCTCCGTTCACTCTCCAAACCACTTGCCCCATCATGGGACTTGGCACCAGTTCTGGATGTGCTTTCAGGCGATCACTTTGAACCCCTGGAGACAGTGGATCTTGTGGATCTTAAGACTCTGTCTTATAAGACAGCCCTGTTGCTCGCCTTAGCCACGGCCAAGCGCGTTAGATCCTTCATGTGCTCTCGGTTCATCCTTCATGCACTGTTTGCCCCCGACTACTCCAAGGTTATGATACGTCCTAACACTGCGTTTATTCCTAAGGTAATTCCCATGACTTATAGTAGTCAAGCCACTGACCTCTTTCCCTTCCACCCTTCGCCGTTCTCTTCTCCAGAGCAGTGGTGCCTTAACACGTATCCAGTGCGCGCCCTGCGCATCTATATGGACAGGACTAGGCCATTCCGGAGTTGTGATCAACTGTTTGCTTTGCCGACCCTGCTTTCCTCGCTCACTGGGTAGTGGAGGCTATCGCCAAGGCGTACAGTTGTCAGTGATTGGTCTCCCCTAGGTGTCCAGGCACAGTCCACTAGAGGAATTGCCACGTCATGGGCACTGTTCAGAGTCATCTCCGTCTCTGAGATTTGTGCGGCGGCTAGTTGGGCTTCCCCTCACACCTTTGTGAGGTTCTATCGCCTGGACGTTACTTTGCCCTCCCTGGCACACATAGTCCTTGGCGCTGGAGCTGAGTAGGATGGATCAGGTACGTTACCATGTAGCACATCAGGCTTCTCAGGAAACGGCCTCTGGGCAATGGAGCATTTTGCAAGTGTCCCATAGTGAGATGTCGACTGAAAGAGAACCTTGGGTTACGGGATGTAACCCCGGGTCTCTGAAGGAGAGGAGGGAGCCATCATACCAGATTTCCCCTCTTGCACGACTCGTGGAAGAGGTAGTTATTAGAATGAGGAAACCAAAGCAGTGCAGGGTGTTATATAGACACGCGAGGCATACACCCACAAATATCTGATTGGCTGTTAGGTATGATTGAATAAGGTTTCAACCAATTACCCGCAAAAGAGGGCTTGTCCCATAGTGAGATGTCTCCCTGATCTCCTTCAGAAAACCGGGGTTACATACCGTAACACAAAGTCTTTCGCACTCAACAGTTTCTTGTGTGTATCAAGAATGGTACACCACCCAAAGGACATCCAGCCAACTTGACACAACTGTGGGAAGCATTGGAGTCAACATGACCCAGCATCCCTGTGGAACGCTTTAAACACCTTGTTGAGTATATGCCCCAACGAATTGAGGCTGTTCAGAGGGGGAAAAGGGGGTGCAACTGAATATTAGGAAGGTGTTCCTAATGTTTTGTACATTCAGTGTATAGATCATGCTAATTTTCAACACCTGTCTTTAGTAGAGAACATGGCTGGACAAGGCCATGCAATGACCTGGATTATGTCTAATAGTGACACAGAGCCACTAACATTAAGTGTTGTTTCTCCCCAGCTGACAAAGCAGTACCTGGAGACCCAGAGAACGGAGCGGGAGCTGAGAGATGAGCTGGCCGACAGCGTGTCTAAAGACGCCAGTGATGCCGACCGCTCCAGGATCGCCCAGCTGGAGAAGGCTGAGGCCAAACTCAGAGTGGAGGCCTCAAAGTACATTTTTATTTTTTTAGTACGTACTACTCATTTGTAATCTGTGATAAATCCTCCTGTTACCTAGTTCTATTTACAAGAATGTGATTCTGATTAATGAAATTGACCTAATGCCCTAGCCAAAATATATGTTGCCCTGATCGCATCCCTGATTTAGTAAGCTTTACTACTACTGCCCGGTAAGCTTGCGTTTTATGTCAGTCGTGAAGAAAAAACTAATAATAATAATAATAATAGTAATGTATGCACTCACTAACTGTAAGTCGCTCTGGATAAGAGCGTCTGCTAAATGACTAAAATGTAAAATGAATGGGATAAGGTGCAAACCCCATGCTGTGTATCCAGGTTGAGGGAGGTATCTGACGTGGCTAATATGCAGGTGTCAGCCCTGGAGGCAAGACAGCATTCCAGAGAGAAGGAGGTAGAGGCTCTGAGGAGACAGGTCCTCGACTACCAGGTAAGACAACCCAACCCTTACACTATTCAACTCTATTTAACCCCAGTCATCAAACTCATCCTCATTCTATTCAAGTAACACAACCTCGAGATGAGAAATCTTCTTATTTTCAATAGTTGACAAAGTTGAACTATGATTCCAGAGCTTTTCAAAATAAACAGTTGTGAGTGAGGCTAGGTTGGAGTGCTATGCCTGGGTATTTATTGTGCATAGTTTGAATAGCTAGCTACCATGTTGCTCAAATATATCTCACTACTAGCATTGTTGCTAATGCTAACATTTTCCTCCTGCTCTGTCTTGCTTTGCTTACCCAGTCCCAGTCAGACGAGAGGGCCCTGATCGCCAAGCTCCACCAGCACATTGTAGCTCTGCAGCTCAGTGAATCAGCCACTGTAGGGAAACTAGAGGCCACCACCACCCGGATACAGCAGCTGGAGGCCTACAAGCTTCGCGCAGAACAAAAACTGGATGCCCGCGAGAAATCGCTGAATCATGCTCGCCAGGAGGGCCGGAACCGAGCCAGGCATCTCCAACAGACCATCCAGTCTCTCCGCAGGCAGTTTGCCGGAGACCTACCCTTAGCCCAGCAGGAGAAGTTCTCTCAGACCATGATGCGCCTGCAGGAGGATAGAGGGACCGTGCAGGAGGAGAAGAGGAGAGTGGAGGAGGAGAGGAGGAGGGCAGAGGGGAAGGCACAGGAGCTGGAGCTGAGGCTGAGAGGGTTAGAGGAGCTCATAGCGATGCTGAAGGATGTGAAGGGAGCTCAGAAGGTGGGTGGGCAAGGACGGACTGTTCCAAACACTATAGCCCTCTTGGTTTTCATTAGCTCAGTACTGTTATTCATTACAGGCTAGTATTGCTATCCCTCAGTGTCTTAATTGCAAAAGCCCAACTCTGCCATTGTATAGCTTTTCTTCTCACTGTGGGCCAGTACTATAACTATTCCTCTTCACCAAACTCCAGTACATTGTCTTCCATGGAAAAATATGTTTTTCCTCATGTTTTCTTTATGAATGTTCTCAGGTGAACGAATGGCACAAAAAGTTGGAGGAGGCTCGTCTGCATGAGCTGAGGCGAGGCCGGGAGCTGGAGGTACAGAGAGAGGAAATCAGATACCTGAGGAGCCTGGTGGCCGAGCAAGAGAAAACCATCCATACCCTGGAGGAGGACAGTGTACAGCAACACACTGTGAGAAGAGAAAGCACACTTCAGACAGATAGGCAGGCACTTTTCACAGACAGAGAGAGAGACACACACACACACAGAAATTGAATAAACATACACACACATATTCACCCCTTTTGGCCATTAGAAATGTGATTGGAGCAATTTCATCTGTTTACATTTGTCTTCAGTGAGTTTATGAATCTGTTTACTCTTGCAGGCTTAAAACATGACCTACCTCACGGCAATAAATATGTACATTTCATTTCTCTCCAGTTCTGGTTTGGGATCGCTTTGGAATGTGAAATACACTACCGTTCAAAAGTTTGGGGTCACTTAGAAATGAAGCTGCCATTTGAGGACCTGTGAGGCGTCTGTTTCTCAAAATAGACACTCTAATGTATTTGTCCTCTTGCTCAGTTGTGCACCGGGGGCCTCCCACTCCTCTTTCTATTCTGGTTAGAGCCAGTTTGCGCTGTTCTGTGAAGGGAGTAGTACACAGTGTTGTACGAGATCTTCAGTTTCTTGGCAATTTCTCGTATGGAATAGCCTTCATTTATCAGAACAAGAATAGACTGACGAGTTTCAGAAGAAAGTTATTTGTTTCTGGCCATTTTGAGCCTGTAACCGAACCCATAATTGCTGATGCTCCAGATACTCAACTAGTCTCAAGAAGGCCAGTTTTATTGCTTCTTTAATCAGCACAACAGTTTTCAGATGTGCTAACATAATTGCAATATGGTTTTCTAATGATCAATTAGCCTTTTACAATGATAAACTTGGATTAGCAAACACAACGTGCCATTGGAACACAGGACTGATGGTTGCTGAAAATGGGCCTCTGTACGCCTATGTAGATATCCATTAAAAATCAGCCATTTCCAGCAACAATAGCCATTTACAACATTAACAATGTCTACACTGTATTTCTGATCAATTTGATGTTATTTTAATGGACAAAGAAATTGCTTTTCTTTCGAAAACAAGGACATTTCTAAGTGACCCCAAACATTTGAACGGTAGTGTAGGTTTATTGCTTCAGTGTACCATGACTGTGGGCTTTATAGTGATAATGTCATCGCCCCATGACTTTGAGAGTCAGTCATAATAGGAACAAGAGGAGAACATAAAATACTTGTTCTCTCTATTCATGTATTTGATACTCAGATGGTTTAGTTTTATCCAGCCCTAAAAACACAGTGCTCCAGATGCACTAAATACTAGTACTGGTTGCTTCAGACAATGCATGTTCTCCAAATCCTGCCATGCTAGGACAATGGTTGTGTCCAAAATGGCACCCTATTCTCTATAAAGTGCACTGCTTTTGACCAGGGCCCTATATGGGAATAGGGTGCCATTTGTGACACAGACAAAGTTATGATGACATGGGTTAGTCAGTCTGATCAAGCTCTGTTTAGACCAAATTAATGCACTTCTTACAGGAGAATTGGAGAAAAGGCATTTGTGTTTAACACACACAGAGGCATGTTGGGAGGCACAGAGGCATGTGTGCAGAAATCACAATATCAAACAATTGGGTTACTGTGATCATCATTGGATCATAATTGGATCAAAGTGTCCTCCGCATGCAATGTTTTGCTCACTGTCCTCCTAATTTCTGCAGAGCGCATTGGAGTATAATTATTGTAGGCCTGCACTGACAGGCACGAGTAGTCTTTTAATCATGCAGTCGAAATATGTGTTTTTGAGTTGAAAGCGAGCCTAGCCGCGTTTGCACATTTGTTGATAATCATGGGTAGTGAGTTATTTGCCTAGTTATAGCAATGAAAATCCTGGTAAAGTCATGGTGTGTGCATCACCTGCGTGTGTGCCAGTGGCCCATGCCAGAGGAGCGAGAGAGAGACATTTGCACAGAAGGTCAAATAATGACAGACTAACTAGCTAACCAGCCAAACTACACAATATGTTTTGAATTGGCTTTCTCGCTAGTTAACTATTTAGCTATTAGCATGCATTGATGTCATTGTCATGTCCGATGTCCTAAAATAACTTTCCACCGGCACTAGTGTGTAACCGCAAATGGCCAGCCAACACACAGTTGATACTGGTGTGCAGTTGATGAAACCAATGCTGCATACTTTGGTTGTAAAACCATCTCTCAAGCACTCAACATTGGCAGTGATTCTCCTCTATTCAATACTGGCCATGTAATTCTGACAAAGTTAAAAAATATTCTTAGAATAGCCTAATTGACAGGTAACTCCGATGCTGTCAAGATCTCCCCTGAACACTGAATATTTTAACCTTACAAATAGAAAAACATCTTAGTTAGCTACATCGCCCACCTTAGCCATTGGAGCCCTGGTTCATTGAATGAGATAATGATTTTATAAAGACATAAATAGTATTTGGTTGTAATTGTAATGTTGCAGGGTGGCCAACCCTCCCCCTGGAGAGTCCAGGAGATCTACTGGGTGTGCAGGCTTTTGCCCCAGCCCTGCTCGAACAGACCACATTGTAAAACAAAAATCAGCTGCTCAACAGGACCTTCATAAGCAGACTCTGGTGTGTTTGAGCAGGGTTGGATAAAAAATCCTGCACACCCAGTAGCTCTCCAGATGGAGGGTGTTTTATACAGTAGCCTATCAGTGCAGTATTTTACTTTGTGGGGGGTTAAGTGCTTTGCTCAAGGCCACAACGGCAGGAGATATAATACATGGGAGCAGAGACCACTTTCCATTGTCCATACTTGCGATAATAATGAATGTTATTTTGTGAAGTGGTTCCTTGCATCATACAACACAATTTTCAGTCACCTTTTTGGTCCATGGTGTTCCACACCAATTTTTATTTTTGGACAAGTGACTTCAGCATTCGGACAAGTAAAAAATCAGTCCTACTTGTTCGAAGCCCTGAAGCTTCAACTGAAATGTACCCAGGATTGTTGACGTAATATATGAAGCAACCACGTAAAAAAGGACAAAAAGTTAATTGAAAACATTGTTGGCTGGTTTTGAGCTGATGCGAGACAACATTAACTCTGGCTTCGGAATGAAAATTGTCCCTCACATCTCATATGTTGCCTGACTACAATATTTGATCTTGATACGTTAATAAATACATATTGTATTAATTTTGGCATGTTTAACTGCCTGGAATATCCACTGTAGTGCCTTTTGTTTTGCTAGCTAGCCAGCCATGAATAATTTGTAGTTAACGTTTGCCATCTACTTTTCATAACAACATTAGTTTTAGGTCATTTTCTTTTACATGTAAAACTAGCTGGCTAGATAGATTAATATGATTCACATATACAGTGCATTCAGAAAGTATTCAGACCCCTTGACTTTTTCCACATTTTGTTACGTTACGTTACAGCCTTATTCTAAAATGGATTGTTTTTTCTTATTAAAAATAAATAAATCTACAATCAATATACCATAATGACAAAGCAAAAACTGGTTTTTAGAAATGTTTACTCAGTACTTTGTTGAGCGATTACCTTTGGCAGCGATTACAACATCGAGTCTTCTTGGGTATGATGCTACAAGCTTGGCACAGCTGTATTTGGGGAGTTTCTCCCATTCTTCTCTGCAGATCCTCTTAAGCTCTGTCAAGTTGGATGGGGAGTGTCACTGCACAGCTATTTTCAGGTCTCTCCAGAGATGTTCGATCAGGTTGAAGTCCGGGCTCTGGCTGGGCCACTCAAGGACATTGTCCCAAAGCCACTCCTACGTTGTCTTGGCTGTGTGCTTAGGGTCGTTGTCCTGTTGGAAGGTGAACCTTCACCCCAGTCTGAGGTCGTGAGCTATCTGGAGCAGGTTTTCATCAAGGATCTCTCTGTACTTTGCTCCATTCATCTTTGCCAAGATCCTGACTAGTATCCCAGTCCCTGCCGCTGAATAACATCCCACAGCATGATGCTGCCACCACCATGCTTCACTGTAGGGATGGTGCCAGGTTTCCTCCAGATGTGACGCTTGACATTCAGGCCAAATAGTTCAATCTTGGTTTCATCAGACCAGGGAATCTTGTTTCTCATGGTCTGAGTCCTTTAGGTGCCTTTTGGCAAACTCCAAGCGTGCTGTCATGTGCCTTTTACCGAGGAATGGCTTCCGTCTGGCCACTCTACCATAAAGGCCTGATTGGTGGAGTCCTGCAGAGATGGTTGTCCTTCTGGAAGGTTCTCCCATCTCCACAGAGGAACTCTAGAGCTCTGTCAGAGTGACCATCGGGTCTCTTGTTCAACTCCCTGACCAAGGCCCTTCTCCCCCGATTGCTCAGTTTGGCCGGGCGGCCAGCTCTAGGAAGAGTCTTGGTGGTTCCAAACTTCTTCCATTTAAGAATGATGGAGGCCACTGTGTTCTTGGGGACCTTTAATGCTGCAGAATTTTTTTGTTACCCTTCCCCAGATCTGTGCCTCAACACAATCCTGTCTCTGAGCTCTACGGACAATTCCTTCGACCTCATGGCTTTGTTTTTGCTCTGACATGCACTGTCAACCGTGGGTCCTTATGTAGACAGGTGTGTTCCTTTCCAAATCATGTCCAATCAATTAAATTGACCACACGTGGACTCCAATTAAGTTGTAGAAACATCACAAGGATGATCAATGGAAACAGGATGCGCCTGATCTCAATTTCGTGTCTCATGGTAAATGGTCTGAATACTTATGTAAATAAGGTATTTCTTTTTTATTTTATTTTTATTTGCGAAAATGCATTTTTTAAGAAAGGGTTTTCCTTTGTCATTATGGGGTATTGTGTGTAGATTGATGAGGCAAATAACAATTTAATCAATTTTAGAATAAGGCTGTAACAGAACATGTAAAAAGACAAGGGGGTCTGAATACTTTCCAAATGCACTGTATCTTGCTGATAATTATGAAGTTACACGCTTGCGTTTGCTTTACGTAGGCCTAGTTATCTTGTTCCGTCTGTATTGGTCATGGTAATGCAATAGCATGGGAGTGTGCAGTGCTTCTCAAGTGTACATTTTTATTCCGTCTCCACACTCGTCCTCACAAGAACATACTCAAGAGAACGTCCTCGGAGAACGAACTCGGAGCATGAGAGTGTGGAGCATGGTAGTATGCATATTAAAAAACCCCAGGTTCAGGAGGAGCGTCAATTGTCTTGGGATCAGAGAGAGGTGGAGCGCCAGCTGTACCTCTATGAGAAACAGCAGAACCAAATCATCGGCTCTGCCCAGAAGGTCCTGTATAACACCAGACACACACACACCGGTTGTGCCCCAAATGGCACCCTAATCTTCTTCTTTTATGGTATAATGGCGGTCCTCAAACAAGCGTTTAAGGTGCATGCCGCCACCTACTGTGCTGGAGTGTGGTCATTCACGGTCACTCTACAATACTATAAAATAAAACAAACCCATAATCCTAAATCCCCTTACCTACTGTAACTGCTAAGAAAGTAAAAAAGAGCCCTACTAACTTCTAACAGACCCTCCTCATCCCCAAATCCCTTCCAAACCCCCCCCCAACTCCATCCAACCTCAATAACCCTACACTTTAATCTGTCCCTCTCTTCAACAATACAACAACACATGCTCCACCGTTTCATCGACCATACACTCAGTCACAAAACATTCTCATGCTTGCCAACCAGATGTAATGACGAGTTTAATGTCCTAGGCCCAACCAAGCAAACACCACCTCTTCCTTCCTTCCAACTGTCTGCCAATAGGAATGACTGTACATGAATGCTCAGTATCATATTTATGTTCAACAAATAATTTAGCCATGCATGATATATTAATCATAAGTAACACTGTCTCAAACCATTTGCTGCCAAGTCAACCAATTTTAAAGATTTTGAGTCCTAGTCTCACTTAACCCTGGTGTTTGTGGTTGTTGTAGTTTGAAGAGGCTACTGGTGCCCTGCCAGACCCCAGCCTGCCCCTGGCCCACCAGCTGGACTTTGCCTTGGGAAAAATCAAAGAGCACCATGCTGGAGACCCTGGCCACCTGCAAAACTCTGGATGAGGTACAGTATTACTTTCAGCTCCTTAGTATACACATTACAACAGACTTCCAATACCACTGCTTCAAAGCAACAGCTTGGAATCAGGTTGAGAAGTACCTCTGTGACAAGGGCATTGTATAAGCCTATTAGCCTTGCATTCTAAGGGGTATGCTAGTATGGATATTGGAACATAGCCATCATCTCTGAGCCTGTCTTTCTTTTTGTTCTCTCTGTGCAGAAGCTGAAAGAGAAGGACTCAACACTGTGGAAGGCAGAGCAGAATGTCCTCTCTAGGGACAGGGTAATTAACGATCTGCATATGCGTCTCCCTGCAGCTGCAGACAGGGAGAGACTCCTGGCAGACCTGGCCAAGCACAAGGAGGACCAGGCAGAGAGCCAACCAACCCTCAAAGTGGCCCACCAGACCATCAACAACCTGCAGGGCCGCCTGAACCAGAAGGAGGAGGTCCTTAAGAAGTACCAGAACCTATTGGCCCGTGCTAGACAGGTAAATGCAATGGATAGAGAACTAGAAGAGAGCTAGAAGCAACAAGCCAGACATTATGTACACATCTTTCTTGTGTACCAACTAATGTTTTGATGGGGCGGCAGGTATCCTAGCGGTTAAGAGCGTTGGGCCAGTAACTGAAAGGTCGCTTGTTTGAATCCCAGAGCCGACTAGGTAAAAAATGTGTCTGTGCCCTTGAGCAAGGCACTTCTTCCTAATTGCTCCTGTAAGTCGCTCTGGATAAGAGTGTCTGCTAAATTACTAAAATGTAAATGTATGTAGAGAGTGAGGGTGCGAGATGTTCTTTTGCCGTCTCTCTGTTATGTGCATACGCTTGTTTGTCTGTCTGTGTGTGGTAGTCTCCCGAGTGGCGCAGTGGTCTACTAGAGATCCTGTTTCGAATCCAGGCTCTGTCGTAGTCGGCCGCGACCGGGAGACCCATGGGGCGGCGCACAATTGGCCCAGCGTCGTCCAGGGTAGGGGAGGGAATGGCCGGCAGGGATGTAGCTCAGTTGGTAGAGCATGGCGTTTGCAACGCCAGGGTTGTGGGTTCGATTCCCACGGGGGGCCAGTATGAAAAATAAATAAAAATAATAATGTATGCACTCACTAACTGTAAGAGCGTCTGCTAAATGACTAAAATGTTTTGGTGTGTGCTGGGATGGTTCTGACATCTTTGGCCCTCCTCTGTTACCTCAGGAGCAGGAGGACATCACCAGGAGACATGAGGAGGAGGTGAGGACACTGCACCAGAAACTGGACCTGCACACTGACACCTCCCTGGACCGCTTCAAACAGACTGTACTGGAATGTAACATAGTCCCACACTCTCTCTCTTGGTCTTGGTTCAGAAATCCCAGTTGGAAGATTCCCAGTTGGAAGTTCCCAGAATATTGTACGTCTGGATCAATGATCTCTACCTCAATAAAGCATTGCTATGGACTTTTATGATGTCACTCACTGTTCTTTATTTGGGGAGACCTTTTCCCGGTATCTCTTCTCTTCTTCTATCCCGGTAAATCTCTTCTTCTCCTTGTCCTCCCCAGGAGTTGATGAAGAAGCCCACCATCACAGTGCCGACCAGCAAACACCTGGTGCGCCTGGCTGAGATGGAGCAGACTGTGGAGGAACAGGACAGCTCTCTCTCCTCCCTGACTGACCGGCTGAAAGAGAGGTGCCCACTGCAGAGCTGGACAGGCAGAGGAACTTCACAGCCATGCAGGCCAAGGAGCACACCTCAGAGAAGGCTAAGTAAGTCACTGGCTTACTTAGCTTTGATAATCAATGCTATATAAAAAAAACCTGACTGATCAGTCATGATTCTGGATAATTGTAATCGTTTTTTTTTTTTTATCTGCATTTTATTTTATTTGTCATATGTGATCAGGAAAAGTGCACTTGATCGCATCCCAGACCTGGGAATGGACTACATTATAATATAATAGATTTTCTGAAAGAAATGGTCAATGATAAAGCGACAGTATTAGCCATTTTAAATGTATAAAACTGTTTTTTATTCAATTGTCTTTGTTAATATAATTTCATCCCATCCAACCAAGTTGGCCTGTGCCCTGGGTTTAGCTTAGCCTAACCCCACTGTGTGTGTTCCAGGCTGGAGGAGCATCATGCAGCCCAGGCCAAGGCCCTGTCAGGGGAGGCTGAGGAGCAGCAGGCTAAGCTGGGTTAGATGGAGAAGGAGCTGCACTACCTCCGCACAGAGCTGGAGGCCCAGAAACAGGCCAACGTCCGCTCGCCCAGCAACACCATGAAGAACCTGGTTGAGACACTCAAATCACAGCTCAACCAGAAAGAGAAACAACTGAAGGTGAAGACTAGAGAGATTCCTATTGGCCTTATCTTATGGTCTTATCTCTCTACAACTGACCCTGTGTACGGCAGTGTCTTGTGATCTCTCTATATAACTACTGTATCTGTGTATGGCAGTGGAGTTACAGAATCTTGGGTTCATTAACATTACTGCAACCCCCCTGAATGACAGAAACGTCCCTATCATCCCTATCACCCTCTCTCTCGATGCGATATTATTCTATGCACCAATTTTTTTTTGCGTGAACACGTTCATTTTACATTTAACATTAATATCTGCTGTCGATGGGAGCTCAGGAGCTGGGCCTCTGAGCTGGATCTGTCTGAAATGACTTTTCTAAGCTGAGTGGCCCTCTGTCTGTCGGTGTGTGTAATGTCAGGTGTGTGTAGGTACGTGAGCTGAGCCATTGGGCAGACTGAGCGTCTACCACCCCACCATCAGATTAGGGGTGGGGGCAATTTATGCTGTTTTTTCCCCACACTTTTTTTTAAATCAGAAATCAACATCACCCACTTATAAACTTGTCATTTTTGCAGATAAAAAATGTTGTGAGCTAATACTATGACAATATTTATCTTTACAAATTAGCATGGCATTTAGCCAATAAATATAATGCAGCTTTGGATTTTACCCCCGCCTCAAAGCAAATGGTTTAGACCAGGGTTCTCCAACCTTGGTCCTAGAGCAAACCTCCTGTAGGTTATTACTCCAACCCCAGTTGTAATTTACCTAATTCAGCTTATCAACTACCTAATTATTAGAATCAGGTGTGCTAGATTAGGGTTGGAGCGAAAACCTACAGGACGGTAGCTCTCCAGGAACAGAGTTCCTCCCGCTCCAACCAATGAATGCGACCATGTGAAGCTCCCAAAAATGATTGCGGTCCTTTATTAAATACTCTGTTCATGTAAAAATGACCAAATACACTGACTGTTTAAAGCAAAACTACCAAAACTATTTCTCATGGTGAACCTCAACAATCTAAATGAAATCTGAATGATTGAAGTCGCTCTGGATAAGAGCGTCTGCTAAATGACGTAAATGTAATTGAAAACCCCAATCAGGAGTTGGATGTAAGTTGTGTCCACTCCAGTAGGCTACACAACTCCTGTAAAGCACAATTTTCTACAGCACATTTGGTTGAGTTACAATTAGTTGCGTGAAAAGCAAATTACATTGCTTGTCACTCAACTAATAAAGCCTATGATTTGACATTGTGGAAGCCATTTTACAAGCATCTGAATGCTGAACGTGCCGCACAGATGTACGAATAGCCGATTAGAACAGAGATAGGCCTACCACTCGTTGGCACGAGCTGTGTCTCCCGAACTGTGCGCACACAGTTGTTACAGTCATACGCAGTTACATGCATAAAAATGTGATGGGCTACTGAACTGAAGGAGAGGACGCATCAAATCAGTCACAAAATATTAGGTATTTTCGGAATAAACAATGAGTAAAAAACATTAGTGAACCACGTAACGTTTGAATCAGTTTGGGCTCCTGCTGACCAATGCATTCCTATCTTAGGTGTTTTCACATATAGTCCTCTTTAAAATAACCAATCTCAGTGCTCTTTAAAGTGAACTCTGTGGTAAAAACTGTCACGGTTTCGGCCGAGACTGCTCCTCCTCCTGGTTCGGGCAGGCTTCGGCGATCGCCGTCCCCGGAGTACTAGCTGCCACCGCTCTATGTTTCGTCATTCGATTGCTTTTGTCTGTCTGTATCACCTGTGTCCATTTGTGTGTTGATTGCGTGTCTTATAAGTTCCTTGTTTTGTTCTAGTATTATTGTGTGTTGTTATTCACTGCCACAGTGTCGGAGCTACGTCTTGCTCCCTGTTTGTTTTGTGTTTTAGTGTTTACGCGTGTGCGTAATTCTCCCTCGCCTCTTTGTGTATTTTTGAGGTCGGAGGTTTTCCATTTATACTTTGGACTATTAAATACTGTTGGACTTAACCTCAGTGTCCTGCGCCTGACTCCTCCACCACATCCACCTCGGTTTAGTGACAGAACAACACACCTCCATGGAGTCAGCAGGAACAGCGGCGGCACCCGAATCCCTGGAGGACCGGATCAACTACCAGGACACCATGATCCGGCAACTCGGGGCCGCCATGGACGAGGTGTCCAACACTCTGCGCCGATTGGTGAATCGAGAGGTGCCCACGCACTCTTACAACATCCCATCACCAACGGCCAGTCCTCCTCTCTCAGCACCGGAACCCAGTGGCATTCGGCTCTCGCTCCCGAGGGCATTTGACGGTTCTGCAGCCGGGTGTCAGGGATTCCTCCTGCAGGTGGAACTTTACCTTGCCACCATACACCCGGCGCCCTCGGGATACGAGAGCGTCTCCGCCCTCATCTCCTGTCTATCCGGCAAGGCGTTGGAGTGGGCCAACGCCGAATGGAGGGGAATAGACGCCGCAACCATCACCTACGCGGAGTTCTCCCGCCGCTTCAGGGCTGTCTTCGATCATCCACCTGAGGGGAAAGCGGCGGGAGAGCGTCTATTCCACCTCCGACAGGGGAAGAGGAGCGCACAGGAGTTCGCACTGGAGTTCCGGACACTAGCGGCGGATGCGGGGTGGAATGAGAGGGCCCTCATCGACCACTACCGGTGTAGCCTACGAGAGGACGTTCGTCGTGAGCTGGCCTGCAGGGACACCAACCTGTCGTTCGACCAGTTGGTGGACATTTCCATCCGTCTAGACACCCTGCTGGCTACCCGCGGACGTCCCGAGTGGGGGTCGTCCATTCCACCCTCCAGCACCTCCGAGCCGATTCCCATGGAGCTCGGGGGTGCTGGCGCTAGAGAGAGGAGGAGAGGGAACCCGAGGGGGGCCATCCCCTGCACCACCTGTGGTCGTGGAGGACACACCGCGGCCAGGTGCTGGGGAGGGTCTCCTGGGAGAGGTGACAACAGGCCACGCACTGGGGAGTCATTTCAGGTGAGTAGGCGCCCCACTTACCCAGAGCTTTCTGTTGGTCACATGAGTATTCCTGTGAGATTTCCACAGGTGGCACCTCATTCCCAGCATAAGGCGCTAGTAGATTCAGGCGCAGCTGGGAACTTTATTGATCGGGCATTTTGTGGTAGGTTAGGAATTCCCCTTCGGCCGGTAGAAGCTCCATTTCCTGTCCACGCATTAGACAGCCGGCCGTTGGGGTCAGGTCTGATCAGGGATGTCACAGCACCACTGACGATGACGACGCAGGGGGGTCATGAGGAGATCATTCAGTTTTATGTGATTGACTCTCCTGCGTACCCCGTGGTGTTGGGCCTTCCCTGGTTAAGCACCCATGATCCTACCATAGCGTGGCAACAGAGGGCTCTTATGGAGTGGTCTTCCCAGTGTGTAGGGAGATGTCTAGGTGTTTCCGTAGGGGCGACCTCGGTAGAGAGTCCGAACCAAGTGCCCGCACTGCGCATTCCCCCCGAGTATGAGGATTTAGCACTCGTGTTTAGCAAATCGAGGGCAACACGGCTACCTCCTCATAGACAAGGGGACTGTGCGATAAATCTCCAGACAGGAGCAGCTCTTCCCCGGAGTCGTGTGTATCCCCTGTCTCAAGAGGAAACAGCGGCTATGGAGACTTACATAGCCGAGTCCTTGGCACAGGGATACATACGGTCCTCCACTTCCCCGGTCTCCTCGAGTTTCTTCTTTGTGAAGAAGAAGGACGGGGGATTGCGCCCGTGTATTGATTACCGTAGTCTCAATCAGATCACAGTTAAATACAGTTACCCACTTCCACTAATTGCGACGATGACGGAGTCATTACGCGGAGCGCGGTTCTTCACAAGGTTGGATCTCAGGAGCGCGTACAATCTGGTGCGCATTAGGGAGGGGGATGAATGGAAAACAGCATTTAGCACCACCTCGGGTCATTACGAGTATCTCGTCATGCCATACGGGTTAATGAATGCTCCTTCAGTCTTCCAATCCTTTGTTGACGAGATTTTCCGGGACATGCATGGGCAGGGTGTAGTAGTTTACATCGACGACATCCTAGTGTATTCTTCTACACGAGCCGAGCATGTAGCCCAGGTGCGCCGAGTGTTGAGAAGACTGTTGGAGCATGACTTGTATGTCAAGGCAGAGAAATGCCTGTTCTTCCAGGAGTCCGTCTCCTTTTTGGGTTATCGGTTGTCCGCGTCTGGCGTGGAGATAGAGGTAGACCGGGTATCGGCCGTGCGTAATTGGCAAACTCCAACCACTGTAAAAGAGGTGCAGCAGTTCTTGGGTTTTGCTAATTACTACCGGAGGTTTATTCGGGGTTTTGGACAGGTTGCAGCTCCCATTACGTCCCTGCTAAAGGGGGGTCCGGTTCGTTTGCAGTGGTCGGCTGAGGCGGACAGGGCATTTGTCAAACTAAAGAACCTGTTCACCTCGGCTCCTGTGCTGGCGCATCCGGATCCCTCTTTACCATTCCAAGTAGAGGTAGACGCGTCCGAGACCGGTATTGGGGCAGTTCTGTCACAACGGTCCGGCACGCCACCTAAACTCCGCCCCTGTGCGTTCTACTCCAAGAAGCTCAGCTCGGCGGAGCGTAACTATGATGTTGGGGACAGGGAGCTGTTAGCCGTAGTCCAGGCCCTAAAGGTGTGGAGGCATTGGCTTGAGGGGGCTCAACACCCTTTCCTCATTCTGACTGATCACCGTAACCTGGAGTACATCCGGGCAGCTAGGAGATTGAACCCTCGTCAGGCTAGGTGGAACATGTTCCTAACCCGGTTCGTTTTTAAGATCACATACATCCCTGGGTCCCAGAATGGTAAGGCAGACGCCCTGTCCCGGCGGTATGACACAGAGGAGAGGTCCAACGAGCCTACTTCCATATTGCCGGAGTCTTGTT